GACGTGTCTTGAGCCTTGACTTGACTCGGTAGGGTTCCGCTTGGTTATCATAATTCTAACCCCTATGGCTAAGCTGAGTGGGTATAAACCAGTCGGCGAGCCCCTAGTCTAAGGTGCTAGAGTGGATATCACAGGCCGATCCGATCGGAAAAGCCATCAGCCTGAGCCTCTAAGCCCCCTACCCTAAGCGGTCACGACTCGCGACCGAGTAAGAAGCTTCAGCTATCAGTCTCAGAGCATCACTTAGAGCTTTTCCGCGACGGCACTAGAAGCAATTGGTCTGCTTGGTCCTTTTGGCGGCTGTCGCCGCTCTGGGGGGTGACCGGATAAATCGCAACTACTCAAAGTAGGAGGCTTCATTTTGGGATTTGGAAGTTCTAACTGTGGATGTGCTAATTGTGACACCATTTAGATGAGTCTGGTCTATCGATTCGCCCTACATGGGGCGGCAATCTCCTTAACGACGCCAAGCGGTGGAGCTCGGGTACGATGTACGCGTCTACAAACGACTCATTCCACGGAGTTTGAGCCAAAGATGAGTCGAAGGAGAAATGTCGACTCGCCGGCAGCTGATAGCATTTATCCGCCCTCGTTTACGCCGAAGGCGATATTGCTAGAATCCTGAATTGGGTAACTGATTGTACCACACGCTCTACTTGCTCTAGTCTGGCTGTTTACAGGAGGATTCTCCATGAGACATCGTCCACTGACATCAAGACCCGCTAAGTTATTGAAGCTCTTTCCACGAGTCATTAGTCAACGACTATCTCGACGACGGTGACAGGGGTCTTGACCAATGTTCATCAATGTAGCTGCAATGAGCCTCAGGCATAGCGCATGGCCCACCCTCTTTGGCAGAGCCAACCACCGAGCCTCACAAGCGCCACACTGACTGAGGTACTTCTCTGGTCTTCGCTTCCCGTGTCCGTATCCGGGGCGCATCGAGAAGCATGAGTCCTCCAATACGACGTTGAGCGCTCTAACAGGATCATGGCATCAGTATTGCACAGATAAAGATACGCAGGGCTTGTCTAGAACCTGAAGAACCAAGATTCAAGAGCAGTTGATTCGTCAACGCCCGGGGCAGTACAGGATTGTTACCTCGTGTACCGCGCATAGTTGGGGAAACTGCCGTATCGAGGACATTGAGTCATGGTAAATCCTTCAGCCCTTGGCAAGTCTCTAGCAGGCCAGCTTTCCTCGGCATGCAAGGGTATCTGTCCAATGGGATAGCCTTCGTACAGCGCTCGAGATACCCTACGAAGCATGAGCCGCCCTACCGTATTATCCATTGGTAATAGGCTCCCGCCTGTCAGGCTTTCCGAACCACTGTGAGTACGAGATTTCAGCAGTCATGATCATCATAATGTCTTGAGTATTGATGCACGGTTGAAGTTGGTGATTAACGCATGCTACTTTGGTATACTACATCCAGTGGATGGTGAGAGTCTATCCTCTTTACCCAGGTCCTATTCGGGCTCCTCACGGAGGGGGGCGCAGTACCTCCCACGTCCCACTGTTCAACACCAGGACTTCGCTAGAAGCACCAACCGTCTAAGCCCCTCCTCTTCTGCCTCAAGCCAAGGTTAGTAGCTCAAATAATATCTCTTAACGTCCTGAGGTACGGGCTCCATCACAATCCAGTCACGTCCGACAAATTTCCTCCACTACATGAGAGCGCAAAAGCTCTAGACTACATACGTCTATCCTTGCAGCATTCTCACTTTGCCCCAGTCTGCAACATCTACTGAGGTAGGAGAACTAGAGAAGGGATGAGAGAGAACTGTATGAGTCTGTGGGTGTTCACGGTTCGCCTCTCCCTTACCCAGGCGCCCAAAGTGGCGTTCATGAATCACCCCATAAATCTTAATTTATGCTTTCCTCCCTCCTCCCTCTTCGCATCCGTGACTTATGTTACTAACTACTAAGCATGCCCAGCGGTGGATCGATCCCTTTTCTCCCCCTTCCATCTGCCTAGAAGGTCGATCGTCCATCGTACGGGGATACTTTTAAGCAGGAAAAGAATTCCCCCTCTAGCCGACGAGGGTGATCAGACACTTCTTCTAGATGACTTCCTCCAAAGTTTCATCCGTAGATCGTCCTCACCAACGGGCAGCGAAAAGCATAAAAACGAATAATATCACAGCGTGTTAATCTGCCTATTATCGTAACCTCCTCCCCTCTTCTCCTCTCTCATGAGGCTTCCAAGCATACCACACGCAGATTGACTGAATGTGCGTCTCCGCGGAGACGCAACGCAAACTCTGAAAAGCTCAACAATCGTCACTTAACACTTATTGCAGCAAAAAAAAAAAAAAAAAAAAAACTAGATTATCTATGGTCATGGTCTGATGTACGGTAGTAAGGTAAAAAAAGACCGCCGCAAGAGTGGGAACGAGAACCACCTCCCCCAAAAGAACTTCAAAGTGTGTAGGGGGAAAGAGAGACTGAGCCCCGTCTCCGTTAACGGTCCAGCGAAACTTTTTTGCTGTCTTGTTGGGCTTATGAAAATCTGACAGAAGGGAAACAGGACGGGAGCAGCAGCCGCGAAAGTTTTGCGGTGCTGGTTGGGTTTCTCGGGCGTTTCTGCCGTACCGGACTTTTAATTCGTGGGCGTCAATTCCACTGATCAGATACCTGCATCGGTGGTACTGGATGTGGGGTTTTGAAAAATTGCGCTTGCAATGGGTAATGGATGGGGTTGGGTTTGTGCGATGTAAGTATACATTAAGGTATATGATTTTACTGTCTGGTTGTTGTTGTTGTTGTTGTTGTTGTTGTTGTTGTTGTTGTTGTTGTTGGGTTATTACATAAGTCGATAGGGAGTGCTTGTAGACTGCGGACGGACGCTGCTGTGCGATTACATAGCTACTGCACAAAACTCCAGCATATGCTGTCACCCCAGAGATAAAAAGCTCCACACATTAAGAAATAAATCGGAATTCCCCCCTGAAAATAATAACTACGTAGCCATATTAGAGCTCAGAAAATAACTGCCCTGCACTAAAAGTGAACGGACCAAGCGCTATTGTCCATCTCATCTCAAAATAATCTCAATCTGAATCCGCTGCCCCGATCAGAGAGGAAATCCCGACCAAAAACGAGGGAAAAAAAAGAAAAAAGCAAAGCAAATCCCGAGAGAGAGAAGAGTGGAGCCCTCAAAGCTTCCTCCCTTCCTTCTTTTCCACCCCCCAGCCCCACTTGCGCCGCGGGCAATTTTGACTGTTTACCTAGTTGGGACATCAAGACCGTCGGCCGGGGGCTTTGCGTTGCACTTCGCACCAAACCTGGTAGGGCTAGATCTATCAGTCTACCGTAGTTTTACAGTAGCTATCGCTATCGCATTCGCCATAGTATTGTACCCGAATTTCGACCATCATCCTCAACCACGCACTGCAAAATCCGAGAGACAACACACACACACGAAGAGAAAAAAAAAAAGAAAGATAGAGCGATCGGTCTCAAACTCTCAGACAACCTACCATACGTAGCCTTGGCCTAGACCCTTCTCTTATTTCCCCCCCCCCCCCCGCCATGGTACCCTTCTTAGCGTGGTTGCTGCAAGTGCTGCTATAACTTTTCTACTTAGTATATTATCATTATGGAGCGAAGGAATGTGACGGGATTATCACCACGCCAGAAAGTCGGCCGGACTGCTTCAGATAGTTCTAAGCTTTGCCACCACCCACGCCAATCGCCCACGCCTAACTTCCTTCGTCTCTTTAGATCACTATTTAGTAGACTACCAGTGATAAGGGCAGGCTGCAATTTAATTACGAGCCGTACGCCAGTCGGTTCATTCCGAAGGGGGGGTGTTCGAAAGTCGAGAACTTTCGTCCGGGACATTCGGGCGGCCGGGCGGGCTTTTTGAGGATCCATAGGCGGCATACATGGGTAGGTAGGTAGGTAAGCATTTAGCTTAAGAGAGGGAGAGGGGGTAAGCAGCAAAGTAAGTTTTACGAGGCATTCCCCTTCTGAGTAGCCCGAGCTCCGACAGACGGATAGTAGGAAATTGAAGGTCCGTCATCATCATCTCCGTTTGTCGTACCATTCTTGGATTCCAGCAAAGCTAGAGCAGCTGCCAAGTGTACCTAGAGTACCAGTAAAGTATCTCTTCCCTACGGTAAAGCTTGAGAAACCCAGCAGAGCTTCCAATCCATCGAATTATCACCAAGCTACCTAGCTAGCTTGTACGTTCTCCACTAAAACCACGTCCCCCTCCGTCTACCCATTGTTCGTTTCTAAGCAAAAAGGATATGATACGAGACAATATCATTGTATGCTAGATCTGTACTGTACATACATACAGTAACTCTATACATCTATGCATCCCTCATTCCTAATGCCAGTCCACCACCCCCCCCCCCCGGCGTCTTCACTCCCACATTCTCAATCCTTCCGTCATGTATAGTACTCACTCCGAAGGAAAAGCAAATCCCGAACTGAGGGACCAGAAAAAAAGCTACCATGAAAACCTGGAACTTAGCCGAGGAGTGACTGATACCCGTTTGATACCCAAGCCGGATTTTGCCGCCAATCAGATGAGCCAGGCTGCAAGTTCCGATACACATTGTCGGATGGATGAAGTAATGGTCGCCAGATCGAGAGATATGAGGTGCAGTGGACTGGATCTGTGGTCTGATATGCAAGAGTAGGAAAGGTACTGTGCATGTATCGCTTAACCTATTCTTCGTGAGGTTTTCATAGTTGGTGGCCCTTCTGATGTATGTGTATGTGCAGGTGTGGGTGTGGGTGTGGATGGTACAGAGAGATGTATATACTAATGTATTATGTACATATAGTACTTCCTAGAACTCGCAAATAGTTACAAAATACTACATGTAGATAGTTATAGTTAGGATAATCTCGACCTTTAGTAACTTTTTAAGATAATTCTTAAATCTATATTCTCTAAATCAGGTTACTAAAAAATTAGAATATCTACGATTCTGTATGCATGCAAGTAGACTAGCCAAAGCCTCCCCCCCCACACGCCAAGATAGGGAATGAATCAGTTGCGAGTAGGTACACGACACGATCTTCTTTCATGCTGATCGACAATAAATGATGAATGTGATTGTTTCCGGAGAGGCAGTCGGATGGTTTCCGAGGAGCCTTATTCTTTCCTCACCTACCCACTTACCAACCTACTATGCTACTATCTATCTTCTGCAGTATCACAACCCAGTCATCCCACCACCACCTCCCCACACATCCCACCGCATCACCCTCCACTCCCTCACGCATGCACATACACCCAGACGCAACGCAAGAGCTATCAAGCAAAGACAAGAAAGACGTGGGGGGAGGCGAGTGGGGACCAACCAAAAGCAAAACAGCAAACCATCCTATTGTTCCTCCCTCCTGCAGCAGAGACCTGCGCCCACCATCCCAAATAATGAGTTTGTCCGTCTGTTTGTTTCCCTTCCTTGAGTTTGCCTTGTTGTCTTGTTTGCCATTTCCTGCAGCAGGGAATCTGGACCCTGATAGACTGATTCGTTCGCTTCGGGCTTCTAGTCTGTCAAACAGGACTATTGTCTATGCGCCGCAGAACTGTGGGTCCTCGGACAACAACAATCACCGGAAACTACTAGGTTGTTTGGTGACTAGATAGGACCGGACGGACTATGTCTGATTGCGCAGCCTTTATTCGTCCTACCGATCGAGGGACCGACTTACCTACCTAGTATTTGTTGGTACCAGCGCGCAGGGGGACTCCGGTAGTCAATGGGGGTAGCATAGCGCTTATATGCGCAGAGGGAACGGGACAGGGGAACAAGATACATAGACGCAGGGATGAGCACAGTGAACACACAGACGCAGAAGACGAACAGAAAGGGACCCTCCTATCCCAATCAATTCAGTCCTCAACCTCCACAGCCTCCCCTCCCCCCCACCCTCACCCGTTACATCACCCACCACCACAACCACCACCACATTCCCCGGGGAAGCTAATCTAGCGTACGGCACCCACCGACCTGCAGCCAGACGTGCAGAAATTGGGTCACCGGAAGCTGACGCCAACATTAGCGCATGGGGGGAAGAGGAGATGGGGGCCGTTAGACCTGAGGGAGGGCTGCTGAAGTCTGACAGGTAGTTAGGGACGGACTAGGTGACTAAGGTTGCAGGTGCAGTTGCAGGTGCAGGTGTAAATCAATGGGGGTATGTGAAGGCACTCTGCTTGCGCTGGCGCTTGCTTGCGTTTCCTGTCTCGTTGGTTTGTTCGTTTGGTTTACTGAGTGAGGTGGAAAGGCCTCATTCTTGGGGGAGGGGGGTGGGTCGGATTTGTGCGGGGCTTCGTGACGAGGCTGTCAATTAGAGAAGGGTCTGTATGCAGGAAGTACAGTACATAGTGTGTTGTTGATTGAATGCTGGGGTTGAGTATGGGTCAGATATTCAAGGGGGATAGTCTGAATCAGTCGATGTGGACTAGTTCTGCTTCTTATCAGCCATCTATAGATCTGCATACAGCATATGGTCCGAATGGTAGGACATATGTATGGCCTGAGGGACCCCCGACCGATCGATGGGTGCGAGTCTCTCAGGATGGGCCGATCTGAGAACAGCGTCGACGGGACCGATCATGTCAAGCTTCGCGTCTGCTAAGTAAATTGTACGGGAGAAGCCGTACACCCGATCGTTGAGAACCGGTCATTAAGGTTCGAACCGAGCTTTTTGCTGATCTAAAATTCTTAATGAAATATAGGTAGTAGGTACTGCGTGACTAGCTAAGCAGATCCTCAAGCGTGGCACATATCATTCCGAGAGTCAGTAGATGTTTCCTTCCCTATCTATGGTTTGTTTGCATATTCCGGTTTCCTGCAACGCCTAGCCTTCTCTCTAAATCAGATGAATTCATCAAAGCAGGACAAAAAAGGAAAAGTATCCGGTATCCAGCCCAATCCATTCCAGTTGAGACAAAATGATATGTGAAAAAGTTGTAAGTTGTGTTAAGACATGGTGGCCAGAAAGATAATCCTGGCTTGCGAAACTTTCGAGGAAGTGGACGGATGTGCCAAGTAATATGAAACGACATGTCTAGTGGCAGTCATGGGATTTTGGTAGCAACCCCATGTACAAACAATGGGTCGAATACTTGGGACCAATCCGTTTCCTACCAAGCCCCCTGCTTCAGACAGAGATCACTGTCCCGGCTCAGTAGACTTGCACTTCCGACGACAACCCCTGCCGAATGGGAGGAACGTCGTAGGTTTCTTCAAGCGGTCAAGGGAAATCCAGTGTCGAAATCAGAGATTAATCGTAGTATCAATCGGTCGCTTTGACACAGGCAACGTATCAGGCGACATATGTAACAAAATCAACCAATGCCTTAGTTCGATCCTGGCTGAGAGGAGGTACCAGGCTTGGGTGCCACCACAGGTGGTCCCAGTGGCGGTATGCGGTGAAGTGAAGGCGATGACATGCCAGATTGTTGGCCGTTCAACTGAGTCTGTCGCAAGGCATTCTCCCTCTGCCTGCGTTCTTCTTGCTCTGGTGTCATGCACTTGATTGGTGGCGGAATTGGCGCGTCAGGAGAGCTTCTGCGCATCAACTTGGGGCTCGGTTCAAGTTTTTGGATCGGTGGGAGTACGGGAGCGCCCGCAATGCTGCCAGAAGTCATAGGTCGCGGCGATTGCTTGGTGGGGCTTATCCCTGAAAAGGACATCCCATGTGAGCTCTGGGGCGGTGATGACCGGCTACCACCAGTAGGTGTAGCTACGAGTGACGGCCGGCCATTATTGATCGAGGACAGTTGCGCATTGTTTCCGGTATTCGGGCGGGGAGTCTGACTCTGGCCGTATGGTGTCCATGGAGTCGAATGCTCTGACGAAGCCACGGGCGGAAACCCCGCAAGGGGGCCAACGTCGCGATTACCTTGAGTCGGTGACATAGAAGGGCGATTTTGGATGGGAGATGGGAGGGTTGGACTGTGAATCGAATGAGATGACGATGGTCGTCGTCCGAAGATACCACCATTGAGTGAATCACGGCCATTTGGCGGCAGGTGCATTGAAGGAAGCTTTGGCGGCAGTTCCCGCGACGAGGAAAATCCATTGATGCCCTTCGACGGAGAAAATGGAGCCCGAGGAGGACTGAATGGAGTCGCATGCGCAGACGAGGGTCGACGCTCAGGTGATGCTGGGGGCAAGGAAGGAGCTTGACCAGAAGCCCGAGGAATCATGTGTGGTAGTGACGGTAGTTTTGAAGGAGACCCGATTGACGGCATTGAGCTCGTGAACTGAGTTTGATTCCTGGCAGGGACGGGAGATGGTTCCTCGGTGTCTCTGCTCTTCTGCTCACCGTCGGCGACGCCGGTAGGTGAAGTAGAAGAGCCGACTCGGAATTTCAACGGTGGGATCTTGGGCCTCTTGGCTTCCTCTTCACGTCGTTTGCAGTCATCGCAGACGAAATGGAAGTCTTCGCGCTCAGCCTCGTGTTTAAGAATACCAAGGCACTTGCTGTGCTGCCAGACATTGCACTTTTCGCACGCGACGCTATGGGAGCCATCGTCCTACACCAGATTAGTGAACACGTCTTTTCTCCGGCGCCTCGGACTTACCAAGTTGTGGCCATGTACACCACAGCCCGAGCAATCAAAAGTCCACTGATCTTCCTGAGAAAGGTCTTCAAGATCCTTTCGATACCTCTCCATTTCCGCCTTTAGATGTCTCTCAGATGCTCTACTCTCGCCTCTCTCGACTTTCTTGTGCTCCTCCTCAATACGCTGGAGTTCGCTTTCGTGCAGAAGACGCTTGCGCTCGCGATCCTTGATGCGCTGCTCACGAGTCATGATGCGCGAGCGCCTCTCTGTTTCGAGCTTCCTTAGCCTTTCCTCCTCCTTGATAGCCGCGGCCAACTCAGTTTCCCGCTTGCGCGCTGCTTCAATGGCCTCGCGCTCTTGTCGCTCCTTCTCAGCCTTCCCGGCAAGTCGGCTGGACCGCTTTGCGCCCGCAAGCAGCTCCATATTGGCAAGCTCCTTCTCGCGCTTGACCTTTTGTCGCTGATGGGACATTTCTTCCTTTTCGATGACGGGGATGACTTGCTCCTCAATGCGGTCTCTGAGGATCTTCTCATCAGGGTCCCTAGTCTTCTGAATGGTCTCCAGAAACTGCTGATAGTCCGAGAGTGTGATGGCAACGCACTCCCACTGCATATCTGCGAAGGGATCTTTGGAAGCCTCTCCATTCGCCCCGGTATCCTCCTCTTCGGACTCTTCCACGGGGTCTGCGCCTGTCACCTTTCTGCGCTTGGACGCTCGCACCGCGCGGGCGCTCTTTCTCCGGGACTTGCTCTTCGCGGGCTTCGGAGCCGGGATGGGAGGATCTGTACGACGATAGAGTCTGTTGTCGTCTAGGATGTAATAGTATCGGCCGTCGCGGTCGTAGCCTACCTCCTCAATGCGCTAGGAATGGAACCAAAAGTGAGCGACTGTGCATCAGAAACACCCTAGCAGGAGCACATACCCATTGTGTCTGATCCAATTCGCGCTGTTCCGGCATCTTGTCTCGGATGCGATCGGGGTTCCAGAAAGTCCAAATGGACAATTGGTGGAGAACGCGCAGTTTCAAAAACACATCAAAGTCCAGGAACTTATTGGGTACCTCGTCATATCCAAAGGGGTTCGTGATGTGAGGTGCTTTCGCGTTATACTGGCGTCGCGTGTACTCATCGAAGTTGTCGAAGCTAAGACCAGGGAGACAGGGTGTCAGCATCAAGACATTGGGGTGTTCTGGACATGTGATGGACGTACGTGAGGCCACGATGCGACGACACCCATTTGAGCAGACAAAGTCCAATCTCAAGAAGTTTTTCAGACGGCTCCTGCTTCATACACTCATTTTCTAGGTCCTGCAATCGAACGCGAGGCGCAAACCATCAGTCTGGGTAAAAAAAATATGTGACCGGGCAGCAAGAGAACCAAGTCAAGAAGGCCGGGTAGGCAAAAATAGGCCAAGGGACCTTCAGCCGCACAGAATGGATGGTGCACATACCTCGATACCAAAATCTTCGTCTATTTTCATGAGTTTCCCAAAAATGGCAATGTACTGCATGACATTCGCGAACTCCCAGCAATTTCGAAGCTTCTGAAGGAAGCCCTGCTCCTCAGGTGGCTGCTCCGGAGCAGCATCCACCTCGGAGCGGGCGCGCCTTCGCGATACCATGACGGCGGAGCGAGACCATCAATAGCGCCGCAGCGCAGGGACAAGATTCCGACGGAGCGGCGAATCCGCTGCTGCAGTGAGAGGGGAGGTTTGTGCTCGGGATTCAGACTAGGTGGGTGATACGTGGAGATTAGAAGAGCGAATTGCACAGAAGATAGAAGGTAGAAGGTAGCTCAAATGTAACGAGCGGAGGGAGGGCAAGGGCGTGATCGACGGAGTGGAAGACAGGAAATCGTTCGTTCGCCAGGGCGGGCGTGTGTTTCGGGCTGGGCGAAAGAGATGAGCTCACTGCTTCGGCGGCGCGTCGAGACCCCGGTCAGGTGACGTGGTTCCGCCAACTGGTGCGTGGCGCGCCGATAAGCCTGCATTTATCACTTTCACTGCAATTAGAGACTACTACATTATGCAGTTCATATACTTCTTATGTCAATGATGAATAGTGAATTCGATATTAACTAAGAATAAGAGGCAGTATGCATTCGATCAATCAGAAATGAAAAAAAAAAGAAGAAAAGAAAAAAGAAAACCATCAGCAGTAGGTCAACTCAGAAGCAGATGGGGGTTTTCACACAGCAGACAGAACCAGAACCAGTCAACACAAAAGAAGAAAAGAAAAGAAAAGAAAAGAAAAGAAAAGAAAAGAAACAACAACTAAATCTTGGTATCTCGCTCAAAGAGGGTCTATCTCACTCAGATGGAGGATGGGGAAAGGGGATCATAGAGGACAAGCAAAATGCACAAAGACAAATAGCGCCATCCGTATCCACGCCACCGCACAGCCAAACCATTGTGACCGAAATGGAAAAGAAGTGTTCAACACCAGGGGCAATGTAAAAGCAAACAGAGGGAAGAAAAAAGTTGTGGTAAAGTCACAGCAGGCCCGGAACAGAAAGGGCCAACCCATGCGAAAAGAAACAGCAAACCCCTTTGATAACAGTGGACACAGAAACCCACAAGCGCAAGTGGTAATCCCTCATCTCCTTTTCCCGCTCTCTCTCTTTCCCGTCCCCTTTCCCTCTTTTCCCTTTTTTTTTTTTTTTTTTTTTTTTTTGTATCTCGATCTTATATTTCTCATCTCGTCAATGCATTGCCATCCCACGTAGTTTGCGCCTTGTAATCCATGTTTCGCCTTAAGCCGGTCCCATGCATGTCGTAAGGTTGTCAAATATACCAAGTAATAAATCAAAAGAGAAAAAGATGCTTTTGAGACTTTTTACATGGCAACACCCGGTGCGCCGTCGGAGACATTATCCGAAAGGTTGATGAGGAGCTGTGCAAGGCAACGCTTGGTGGCGGCATCATCGCGAAGGACCGAGGAAAACGTCGCGTCTCGCAAAGGTTCGGGAAGACACTGTCGCAGAGCTTCCCGCGCCCTGCTGTTGTCGCTCAGACTGTTCGATCGTCAGCACGTGTCATTCATGCGACGCAAGGTATGACGGGACTATAGACTTACCGAAGGAAACAACGTACGACGTGTTTGAGAAGTCGAACAGTCTGTTGCTCCACAAGCTGAGTAACCATATTACTTAAGACAGTTCCCACCGCGTAGAATCTCTCGTAGGTTGCGCAGATGTACGCCAGGCCAATATCATCAAGAAGAATTTTTTGCACAATGAAAATGGCGACCGTCTTGCTCAGCTCGGAGCCTGTCTCCATGATGCGAAGGCAGAGGGGAATGATTTCGGTGGTGAGGAGGAAGTTGATAACGTCCGAGGAGTCATTCTTGACCAGAGCTCCGATCACTCCGAGCGAGGTGAGACGAAGGTACTCGAAAGGGCGCGACTTGGACGTCGTGTTGAGAAAAGGGTATAGGAAAAGAGGAATGTGCGCTATATCGGCGAGGGAGATACTATGTCAGAAGCGTTTCAAAATCAGGGTTCTACAGGAGGGTCACGTACCGTTCAGGAACAGGGTGCGGGTCTCGTTGTGGGAAGCGACACACTGGAGCAGAGCCAGCGCATTGCAAACTCGATTTGAGGCCGCGGCAGTGAGCTGTGAAGGGTTCAACAGCGGGTAGACGGAGATGATTTCTTGAAGTAGCGCAGTCATGACTCCTAGACGTCCGGACCAGGTTAGTTGCCACCAAGAAAAGCGAAGCGGGCCAGCATCAGGACCATACCGAACGAATGCCAGATCACCAGCGCGAGTTCCGGAACTTGCTCTCTCTTTTTGCTAAGCTCCATGAGAGCCGCCTCCCTGCGATTCGGGTCAAGGAGTTCTGCCACCCAGATGAAGACCTTGCGGTTCTCATCGCTGATCCCGCCATCCATCACCGACACAGCACCCGACAAAGCGCCATCCCCGCCTAACCCTCCAGCACCGGCTCCCTGGGAAGGGTTACCAGCACCGGGATTTCCTGCCATAGCGATACGGGTATAATGTTGTTGTTGAGCGGCGGCGGCAGCGGCAGCGGCCGCCTGAACTTGGGCATGCTGTTGGGCGACCAACGAAGAATGCTGTTGCTGAGCCTGGTGCGGGTGGGCTTGATGGTGCTGCTGCTGCTGATGTTGCAGCCACGAGGGATCAGCCTGCGGGTACTGATGCTGGTGAGAAAAAACGTGCTGGGTTTGCGTTTGAAGCATGACGGGGTTGGCGAAGACTCGGAGCACAGCGGGACTCGTAATCCTCAGGAGGGAAGACCTTGGAACAGCCCTGGGCGTATGAAAACCGGACTAAGACAGGGAATGTCGAAGAGGGGGGGGCTGGATTGTTCAGTGTGTGTCAAGAAGCCAAGCTCGAGATTGTACTCATGGATGAAGGCTATGTACAATACACTGAGTGATCGGACGAGTAAGGAGAGCGAGGAGGGAGGGTATCGGAGTGTCGGGGCAGGTTGGGTTGGGAAGGACGGAGCGTGGGATTGATGAATGAATGAATTGGACTGGGCTTGGGACTTGGACTTGGGACTACGGGAGGCGGGGAGGCGCTGGTTCCGCCCGGGCAGTTTGTGCCGTGCTTACTACTAAGTAGTAAGTAAGTAGCAGTAAGAGGTACGGTAGTCAATTCGGGTTACTTAAAGAGTTAGGCCGTCGGAGTTTTGCCCAGACCCTTTTCTTAGACAGTTCTCCCCGAGTCACAGATCTGAGACGAGTCAACGATCGACCTTCCGCCAGACAATGTGATTCATTCTTTGCTTTTTCTTGGACGGAACTTTGAGTCAACCCCATGTCATCTCAACTCCAACCTGTCTCGGACCGTCGATAGGCGCCTTGCAGGTTACACCGTGAAAAAAAATGCGCACGAGTTGATCCGGCAGGTGCATGATTATCTTATGGTCAACGCGGAGCTGAAGAAACAGGTATTATCGGAAGCAGCAAGTCCGATTCGATGCAAAAGTACACCTGCCTCAAAGAGACTAAGCAGTATACATACCGGTAACATGCATTCTACCCAAACAGCATCTTCGAGAACTACTTCTCATCAACTTTCTCGTCTCCTCTTGCGACACTAGATCAAATTCTTTCATATCTCATATTTACATCTGCCTCCTATTAGGGCATGAAGTGACTAGTGAATTAAACAGCGCGATCTGACGAAACATCACACATCAAAGGGGGTGGCATAATAACATGACAGCATAACGCATCATCATACATGGAAAGTCCTTCAAGGGGGAAAAGACCAAAGAAAACGTCATAATACACTCGCCGTGAGCCGAAAATAGCGCCGATTCATGCAGAGAGCCTCGGGAGTAAAAGCAAGGAAGAGATTGGGAGTTCGTTGGGTTCAGTAAATCGTTTTCAAAATCGTCGAATTCGTGCCATCAAATCATGATCTTCGCGAGCGCGTTCGAGATCGTCTGGACCGTCTTGTCTCTCGTGTCCGTCGATCGTCAGTGACCTCGCTGCCTAAAAGTACCGAGTTAGTATGGTAAGACATCACCCAAATCGCAAGACTGCGCAGCACATACCATCGTTGGTATAATAATCGGAGTAGTAATAATAACTGCTTGGGTATGTGTAGTCGGTCTTCTCATCGTCATCGCGATGGTCTTGCCTCCTCTTCAGTCCCAGGCAGATTGCAAGCGCACCGAGGATAATCCCGATTGTGGCCAAACCACTCCAGGGGGATTTCTTCTTCTCGCCTGCAGTCGATGCTCCAGCTGCCGGCCGGCTTCCAAACCAGGTCCGTCCTCCGGGCCGTGCGCCCCCATGCGAATGACGGTGGTACCGCTCCTCGACGTAGGTCGTCTCCTTTCTCTTTTTACGACCGCAGCCCAGACAGGCAAACAGAGAGTCAAGAATGCCGCGGCAGCACAGGCAAGCGCATAGTAGCAACAACAAAATCACACCGGCAATTGTTCCGATAACGATGCCTGCGATCGCTCCACCACTCAGTCCATCACTCGAAGCCTTGACTCCGAACACCGCTGATCCGGCCGTATTGACTGGGGCAATGAATCCCTGGGTGGTTGTGATTGAGGCCGTGTGGGTGGCAGTCGATAAGGTCGTTCCGCGGACGGCCGGCGTGGCGGGTTCGGTTTCAGTAGCCCAGATGGACGTACTTCCCAAGATACACTGCTGGTTGTAGCAGACATAGGCAGGCCCGCAGCAATTGTCGCCGCAAATGGTCTCACCAACACCGGCATCGCAGCTGGAGCCGGACGGGGCCGCTGAGATATAGCTGCTCCATGTGGAAGTGAACGTAGCGGTTTCCGTCTCGGTTCGGACGTAGGTCGTGGTAAAGTACTGCCAGCTGCCACCACCGCTACCACTGACGCACTCGGCTTGGCCATTGCTGTTGGTACTACATGACTCGCTGGAGCTGCAACAAAGTTGGCTATAGTAGCCGCAAGGATTTGCGCAACGCTTTTCTAAGAGCGTACCGTTGGCATATTCATGCGCTTCGGGTTCCAATGTTGTCGCGGTTGCGGTCGGTGGGATTACTGTCGCAGTGGCAGTGGCGGTCGGCGTTGCTGGCGAGATCGCTATGGTGGGTTGGATATGGTTCAGTAGAGGAAGTATGGAAATGGCCGACTGCAGTATGCGCGACACATGCATGGCGACGAGAGGACGTCGGGTTAGTGATGACAGCCACGAGGGGGCGTATATCGGGGTTCTGGAATGTCTTCTGGATTCCGATCGCTCTCAGCGAGATCCAGGATCAGATTGCACCACAACACCTGAGTCGACGGCCCCGTTGTATGGCAACCGAGCTTCATACAAATGACAGAAGCATATAGTAAACAAAGCCAAGCAATGGACTGGAATGCGAGACAATCAGTAGTAGCAAAACAAGAAAGGAAAGAATGTCTCCGAGCAGGAAAGAATTGGCAGGCAAAGAGAGAGAAGGAGGGGAAGTGAGCGAGACTGAGGGCTGTTGTTCATGCAGTCGAGATTGCGACGTTCTGTCTTCCTCTTGTCTTTTGATCCCAGCCTCCGTCCCGTCGTCTCCCCAACCACCGCATTTCCTGCGACAGCAACCACCAATCATTGCAACCCCGGCGAAGGAGTCATGATTGAGTGTAAACTTACGCTCACGGATTTAATTATGGAAATTTGGGAGGCTGGGAAAACCCACTTCTTGCCCCTCCGTCGTCAATTGTTGGCATGTTGCTGCCCCTCCCGTCTACACGACATTCACCCACTTCTCTCTCCCCCGCTCTTTGCTTGGGGTTCCTGACAGCGTCATCATCCTCTGCACCAGTCATCCTTCCGCTGGGCAGGAATACACGCAAACTAAGGGATTTTAGCCTGTCGGACGATGTTTGGTTTCCATCCCCGAGAGGATTTTCCCGTGACGAGACGGAGAGTCGGTCTGGCCGGCATGGTCTTGCCTCTTCCCTGATTTGATGCCGGGTTGGTGAGTTTCTGTCAGGGTCAGGTACTGACTGCACGTCTTGATCACACCGGCTCAGATCAGGTATCCAGGCATGGAGTCGGACTACCATCACCTCTTACGTGTCGACCGGACAGGACTAGCTCCTTACTTGGGCAGTGAATCCGGCGTATGAATGATGCAGCAGTGGCCACTCTCGAGTCTCCTCTGACCTATGATTTGACCTATACAAACTAATCTATTTACTCCGTACACACGGACCCAGTTTATTCTCCGCTCATCACCGGTGTGGGAACCCTATTTTTAACGATGCGGTGATGAAGCGGTGTGTGACTCCTCCGCATGCACCCATCAGACCAGTACGCATCTTGCTGTCGATGTATTCAGACCCGGTTGGAACTCGAATCGTGCTCGGACCTAGATTCCGCTTGAGCAATACTGCTTCTTGTTATTGCTCATTGATGCTATCTCAATTTCATTCTTATATACAAATTCTCGGAGTACATCACAGTCACGTTAGCCTTAAATCTTTCAAACATAACACATCATCGTTCAATCATTCCGTAAGCCAGATCCAATCGAAGATCCAGCGCATATATAACCGCAAAACCCTCGAACTGCCAAGCGTCCGTCACGGCCAGTCGGTTGTCATCAAATTCGCATTCCAACCAAATCAGTCATAGATTGCCAGCAAGCATATATACCCATAATCCTTCCATGCGTATCAACACGAAGCCAAGTCCTTGCAGGACATGCTCAAATAAACATTCCGGCCACTCCGATGACCATGCCAAAGAAGAGGTCCGCAAGGCTGGTTGTGTGTCTGAGTCCTGTCGCCCTGTTTTCGTGAACGCCCGTACTGTAGGCCGCGCAGTATCCGAGATTTAGGCCGTGGCAAGCCTCCAGACTAAGACTTGAACAAGTCGACATAGCCGCTGAGACGCCTGCCCGAGTCGTTCCCGCGCCGCCGTCAACAGCAACTGTCACGGCATAACCTCCCCCGAGCTGCGACAGACAGCCGGTGTATTCGCTCTGACATTGGGAATAGTAGGATGTGCAGACCTGGCCATTGGCGAACGAGGTCGGAATGACGACGAACGGATAGGCGGCCGCGAGAGTTGAGCCTGTAAGGGTGGCACTGGTCGGCCCGTCGGTAGTTTGCGTAGCGCTTGCTGTTTGAGGGAAGCGGAAGCTGCTGGTAGAATCGCCGACCACGACTACTCCTGTTCCCGTTGTAGAAAGTGTTCCTGTGCAGCTGGCTCCGGTTGGGCAGCAGGCGATATTGTTGGCATCATCACGAGTACATATGGTATTGTCCTTGCAGCAGATGTCGGAGTGGCCCAGCTTGGAACAAGCGTCATAACCGGATGGACAATTGTCGGCCCGCTTCCTAAGGATCTGTAACACTTCGAAAGCTCGCCATCTTGACTCTGCGATTTGGGGCTGCGAGAAGGGCAACGTCTCGACCGATGGGACCGCGGTCTCTAGTGACAAAGCTGTCGAGGCGAGGAATGCGACCGAGATCCACCCAGAAAGCTTCATTCTTGAGGCTAGGGCTGTTGCGCGCCCGCCAAAGATTGTAGGGAGTTGAAGTAATAGCGCTGAATAAGGTCTGCGGGTATATGCTCACACGGAATGCTGCTTTTGGTTCAGTTGCGATTAACACTTTCGATTTCGATCTGCTGCGATCGCAAAGTAGAGAGCGATCAACAAACTACTCAAAGCGGCCGCGGCAATCTATAGATAAGTAGATGTTAGTGAACGGTAGGAGGGGAAGATCTTAGCAACCCATGAAGTGGACATGCAAGAAAGACTCACAAACGGACTTGAAGGAAACCCTCTCTTTCTAGCCTAGGTATGAGTGGGAGCAATCGAGTCTGCAGCGGATCAAGGTGGGTGTTGAAAGCTGGTGCAGTGCTGCATCTTCCCAGCCGTTCAGGCAGCGCCGGTCTCCACTCACCGCAGTCCCCCTGCCACAGCAACGGACCGGCGCCGCGGTGTTCTCTTGTCCTCCTGCCGCCCGTGCTGGGATGGAGCCTATCCTCCTCTCCTATTTTTGGCCCGACTGGATATTTAACCTTGGGACGGTTTGGTCAAGAAACGCCCCGGGTGTCCGCCGGTGGCCCCTCCGCTGACCTAGTGGATAAAGTCTGCTCCATTATCATTATCGATAGTCAGGGTCCCAGTGATGTCACCTCCTCCAATCCCACTTCCGAACCTCCTCCATCCTAACTGTCCTGTCGAACTTCCTTACCACAATCAGTCATACACCTCAATCTGTGCTGTACCGCTGCAGGTTATCCTCAATTGCACCAAACTTGTTTCTCCGCTTGTAACACCATATCGGTGTATCAATCGAATGGTCGTACATGACTGCATTCATTGGTACACGTCGAGAAACATGGTTAAGCATGTGATTGGAGAGGCTCTTGCTGATTCAGATTAATGTGAGGAGGATACGCCAGACGGGGCCAATGCCTCAGCTACATCAACCTGCTTACTTCACTTCGCGTTTTCTATGCTCATTCTGGTAGATCCGTAGAAGCGCCCACCCCGCTTATATTCGGAGAGTTCTCATACTCAGACTAAAATGTCTTTGGCCGATAAACCTACGCACATGACAATCCCTCTCATCGATTTTAGGGCATGGTCCAACACAGAAGATGAGTCTGCCCGCCAACGGGTTGCACACGAGCTTGTGGAAGCCTGCCAGCGAGTCGGTTTTGTTTACATCCTCAACCATTCTCTGCCCGAAGATGTTCTCGACCAGGCTTTTGACTGGATAAAACGCTTGTTCGAGCTCCCGGAGAGCATCAAAATGCAAGCGCCTCACCCCGGAGGATGGACCGTGCATCGAGGGTATTCCTGGCCTGGCTTGGAGAAGGTTTCTCAAGTCTTAAGCACAGGAGACGATGAAGAAAGTCGGAAGAAGTTGAGAGAGGTGCCAGATGTCAAGGTGTGTTCGATGGTCCAACGTATCAAACCTGCGCGCTGTTTTTGAGATGCCGTAGAATGACATGTCTTTGACAATGCCAAACCTGTGCAGGAAATCTACGATATTGGGAGTGACCAGAATACTGCTCAGCCCAATCAATGGATACCCGAAGAGGCATTAGTGGGCTTTCGCAATTTCATGAATCGCTTCTACTGGGAGTGTAATGAAGTCGGTATTGAGATTCTCCGCGCTCTTGCGGTTGGCCTAAATCTGGATGACGAAGACCACTTAGCCACGAAGCATTCAGGTCATAATAATCAGTTACGACTCCTACACTACTTGCCTGTTCCAGCTGAGGATTTAGAGAAGGAACAAGTCGCTCGATGCCCAGCACACACCGACTGGAGCTCGATTACAATCCTTTTCCAGGATGACTGCGGCGGACTAGAAGTGGAAGACATCTCCCGGCCGGACAACTTTGTTCCCGCGGCTCCTGTCAAGAATGCAATTGTCATGAACGTCGGGGATCTCCTGCAAAGATGGAGCAATGGTCGGTACCTGTCTCTCTAGGTGTAGATTATACTGACTTGTACAGACCGCCTCCGGTCAACTAATCATCGGGTTAGACTTCCACAACTGTCAGATCGATTTGAGGGAAGCAGTCGTATGACGCGCGAGCGGTTTTCCATTCCATACTTCATGGCTCCGGATCCTGATTCGGTCATTGGGTGTATACCGTCGTGCATGAGCGAGCAAAACCCGGCCAAGTATGAACCGATCACCCAAGCCGGTTACAACCAGATGCGAGCTTCAATGATGTATTAGGTTTAATCTCAGACGGTATTTGGTACGAACTGGGCACTGTTTTTCAAACAAAGGCCATGCTCCGCGGTAGAAAGTAGAAACTACCTTATCCCAACTGCTAGCCCTGAGCCCTAGGTCGGAGCCTAAAAGAGTAACTAGTCTTCACCGCCTCAGAATACAACGAATCATCACATGGCAACATCAATGGTGTTCATCAGCAACAGCGGCAACAGCTTGAGCCTACTTACCAGTGGAGACCCATAATCAATCAGTAACGGAGTACTATCACGAGCAAGACTCACTCCTAGAGCCAACATCCCACTTTTCAAATCAACCGACACTACTTTGCCCGATTCCTCAATTGATAGCCCAATCTCTACGCAAAAAAAAGTTCAAAACACCATTCGAACACCACCTACCAGACAACCTACCCCTCTCCACCGATCTAACCCCCGATACCAACCGACCAAAATGTCCATCCCCAACGAAGCTCTGCAGAAGGTCAGCCTTGACTTCTAACTTTGAAGCTCACACCCCACCGCAACCCTTGAAACTAATATTTCGTTAGATTTTGCAAGAAATCGAAGCCCAAGCCATCAGCTCCCAACAACAACTGGGCATCACGAAGGCCCAAATCACCACCAAACAACGCGACATCCGCATGCTCGAACTCACATCCAAGGAAATCGGAGATCTACCCAAGGAAACGCGCGTATATGAGGGTGTCGGGAAAATGTAAGATCGCTCAGTCTCCCTCCTTTCTGTTCCATCCACAGGGACATGGTCTCTGTATTCGCTTGTGAAGATATCACCTTTCAATCCCTTTGATTGCTGTTCACGGATAATTCCAAAAAGTCCCATCCCCATTATCAGCCCAGCTAAACGACAAATGTCGCTGACTACATGATTGAACGAAACAGGTTCGTCGCCGTTCCCATCCCCACCATCGACAAGCGTATATCCAGCGAGAGCAACGAGCTCAAATCCGAGATTACCGGACTGGAGAAGAAGTTACATTACCTGGAGATGACGCATAAGAACAGTCGGGACAACTTGGAACAAATCCTGAAGGCGGGGCGGGCTTGAGTTTCTTCATCTATACTTAATGATAACAAATTTGGGTGCTATGGTTCTTTTCTTCTTTCTTCTTGTGGATATTCGTTTGTTGGGTTGCCATATTGGTTCTACTGGTGTGTTCGTGCGAGAGTGGTGCGCATGGCGCATGAGCTGTTATCTCGATGGACAATCGATCTACTGGACTAGTGCAGAGGATGTGAGGGTGATCGGGCTGGGCTCGGTGGTACCAGCGATTGTCCTCCTACCTTCTAGGATCTTGCTTCAGAGTCATCGTTGGCCAGGGCTCAGGGTGGGAATCATAGCCCTAGTGGCGTCCTTTCAAGGTGGAATAGCTGATATTCCGAAGGACAGTCCCGTTACGATCCTTCCCTCTCATCTCAGCAACGGCATACAAGGAGCCAAGGACGCGGCTGCAGCGGAAAACTTCATCCTCGCCAAGACACGGCGTGTGTGTCTTAGATCGTGCATGTCCGAGGAGCATTGGCAGCCAGGGTGTGGTGACAGTAGCGTCGGCATCCTCACCCATGGTGGGTTTGCTTGCAGGTCGCCCGGCCATTGTTTATGAGTGTTGATGAGCCGGGTGTTGTTGGTTGATCCGCTATGGTCATTTTGACTATAGCTTATCTGTGCGGATGGCTGGGTATCCCTGATTTTGCCTCCTTCAGGCTCTATCGGAGTCAAATGTAGCAAGCCCGGTATAAGACAGTGGGTTAAGTGTCCAGAGTAACCTGGAGCTTACTTTTGTTAGACCACCGATGGCGAGCGGTGTTCTAGACGTTTCGAGGACACGCTCCCCCTATGTAACGTGCGTTCTGTGTACCAAGGAGGAGCATCAGTATACACACATATCTCGTAAGCAAGCGCGGGATGGAAGGACAAGCGCGATTCTGGGTAAGGCTATCTGCCCACTCCAAGGCTTTCTCGTCATCAGTGGCTTATTGCTGTGCACCATGGCCAAAAGTACGCTCTACGGGCATGACAGCTCATTCGAGTGCTTGAACGCTCAAGGGTTAGACAGCATGTTCGATTCCATGTTCATGGCTGATTTGTGTAGCTCTTGGGAGTGGGATTCGACTACTAGGTATCTTAAGGGAGTGTCGCGACGCCTATACTGGTGGTCACTTTTACATGACGGCTAAGCAAACACGGTCCGTTTCGTCTTCCCTCGTGCACGTAGCTGACGCTCTCTTGCACGTTCAGCTCACTGACATGAGGAATCACATCGATTTTTATTCTTCCGAGACTCGCTTCAGCTAAGCCATACCTGTTCTGATAAGCACATAATCCCGATCGTATGGACGCTCTTCTTCCCTCCAGGTACATCTACGGGAACAGTGTGGTACAAGATTACAACCAGGAAGCGATGTGACACGAGCTGTTTTCTGCTATTCATAGATCAGAAAGTCAAAGGATAGCATGAGGATTTACCTCGAACCATGACATCTAGCCTCAATTTTATGTGAATCCAGCCATGACTTTGATGTCATATGTCTTAGAATTGCATGATTTGAGAGAGCACAACCATAAATCCACCACCCTTTTCTAATCCAGCCTCTGAGGCACAACTCACTACTCCCTCAGGGATCATGCTTAGTCGGATACCTTGGGACGCCTCTCGATGGGATCACAAAGCTCATAGCTCAACAAGCGTTTCAATGTCGGACGACGTCAAAGTTCAGCTTTGACTCTAATCTAGCATGGTACATACAGCACATGGGACTCGCTGTCACTATCCTTGTGCAAATCCACCGCCAGGGTACAGAGCTACTAGTATCATATCCATGAAAGACGCTGTTGCCGTTGATTATAAGAGCGAGCGAGCACGATTTTTCCGACTGTCCAAAAATTCCTTGCAGCAGCTGCGGGGCACAACAAAAATGACGTGTAAATCCTTTCCTTTCTCCGCACTCAGCAAACCTCAGCAATACGACGTCTCGCCCTCCTTTCCTCTCCGGGGATCCCTTGCATTCTGCATAGTGGAGAAGAAGAGACCCTCCTCCACGGGTTGACTGACATATCTCAGCCATTGATCAAAGAAGCTAAGGCTGCGTCCATTTGCCAGGTTTCAGCCGATCAAGGCAAAGATAGCCTGACGGGAAGCAGATAGCTGCACCCTCAGCAGTTCTAATAAAAGAAGATCTGGACGCCTGAAGCCGAAACAAGAGGTATAAATAGCCCCCAAGCTTCGTCCCGCTTGAAGAAGTGGAGAGTAGCAAGCAAGAGCCTTTTTCTAATTTTCGCTTTGCGCCCCTACTATAATACCGATCTGTCTGTCTTGACAATTGTCAGCCCACCACATCAAGTCATCATGCAATTCCTTCTCTATATTGCTGCTGCCCTGAGCCTGGGGACTGCTACTCTGGCCGCACCGACTCCAGAGACGGAAGTCAGTGCGGATCCGTCCACCTACCAATGGCATGGTTGTGGCTCCGTCGGCATTGTGCGTTCACCCAGCTCCCTCTTCACGACATAATGTTCTTCTTTGCTAATGGGGTATGATTAGTGTCATAGCGATAGCGACTGTCAGGCCGACTCGAACTGCCTAAGTACGGCCCAGGGTGTACGTGCCAACAGACTTGCCCCTTCCCCCTTGAAGCTCCAGAAAACTAATGGATTTACTGGGTTTAGAACGCCAGTCACATCCACTGTGGACAGGAGAACCATCCGACTGCATGCTGGGCTGTAAGTTTACTATCCTCCTGGCTTCTTGAAGTTTGCTGACTTTTCTCCCCTGCTGTAGTGGTGGAACGAGTAAGAGCGACACCTGGACCATTTGCGCGAAAACAAGTCATGAACAAATCAACCTGGTGGATATAATGCAGTTGAAGTGGGAGACTTGAGTTACGACAATAATGTGGATTGGATAATGGGGCTTTCTTTTTCTTCTTATTTCCCTTTTGCTATCGCGACTGCGATATGGCAGCGAACATTTTCAATTTCTGTAATTTTTTCTTACGAAACCCATAGCATGTGGCCCATTAATGATAGAATGCAAATGACAACAATAACTGGTATCAATTGTGATGACGTGCATAGCCACTCTTAAGATGTAGTTCTATGATCATCCATGAACCCGAAATTGCGGCCTGCTCAATTCCATTCTTAAGCCTTCTTCATCAATGGAATTGGGCTGCAAAAGAACATTCTACCCCTTCGGCTGTTTGCCTCCCTCCACGCACAGCATCATATTATCCTCCGACGATCTTCAATGATGGAATGGATGCCAGACGTGGACAACCAGAGAATGGATGTTCGATCAGGCAGCGCACTCCCTGGCAGTCAATACCCGGAGAGCTCATTGGTAGCATTACGGGAGCCAGGGTGGCGGTGGCCATAGTCCCCTTCCTTCCCAACACTCACCACTCACTTACACGTTTACTGTTCAAGAATATCCGATGCCAATTGCATGGGAGTTGAAAGTTTTCTCCAGGTTTGTGGAAAAAAAAAACAAAAAGGATGAGGCTGTGGGAGGTGGGGGCCGAATCCGTGACAATTAAGTATAGTCCCGAAGGGATCGATCGGGTGTGGCTAAGTCGGCACGGGCAGTCAACAAGCATCACCACAACAACATAATTATCCACTGCAATTCCATGGTCCTGACTAAGGGACTGGGTCAGGTGCGACCGCGACTTTCTTTCTACACGATCGGACTGGGTCACGCTGATTTCACCATCAATTATTGGTAGGGTCAGAAGATGCCCCGTACAGTACATACATGCACTTATTATATGTGTAGTGGATGTACTGTACTGTACAGCGTACCTACTCGTACATCAAGCATTCAATGGGGGGGACCCTGGGACCTAGGGGGAAAGTTACTCCACTCTCGGGCAGGACCAACTCACTCTTACCTTAACTTGCTGTAACTGGAAGTGCACATAGTCTGGGCTCTGGGTCCGTCCGGTACTGTATGTACCCTTTGGCTTTGGTTTCTGCCCCTCTTTTTTTCGCTTCGCCTCTTGTTCAGTGACTCAGTCAGGGTCCTCTTGCGGCCCATGGATACTGCAGCGGTTGTTCCCGTTGTGCCTGTCCATGGGTTGAGAATATTGGACGACAGCATGTTAACTTGGCCATGAATTGGAGAACTAAGTACCCTGAAGTCTACTCTCCTTTCTCTAGCCGCCTTGCTCCAAAGAACTAGTCAGAATAAAATAAACATCAGCAACAAAGATATCACGGTTTTGACAGCCGCCGCTAAACAACGTTCCTCTTCCAGTAAACCGACCCCATCATCTATCGAGGCGTTTCTACACATGCGTATGGTTAGTTTCCTTGCGAGTTTAGTTCCATCAGCCCTACTGGACCTAGTGTCACGTAAGTAGGTGGTGGGTGGATAGTTCCAGATGTCTCGCGCGCGCTCTCTAGGCTCTCTCTCTCTCCCTCTCTTTTCTCTAGCTCTCTCTGCCTATGAGATTCCCCGAGCGCGTTGTCACCTAAAGAAAACCGACGGAGGCGAGACGATGACAGGTTCGGTTGCCAGATGATCAAGCAGGCTCGGCCCAATGATGCCAATCATCATCCCCCACTTCAGCTGAACAGACAAGACAGAAACACTCTGAGCCTTTCCCGCGGTTTAAGAGGCACGGGGGAAGCTTTTCCACCTGCTTTTGCTCTTTTCTTGTTTCTTTTCCCTTCGCGTGGGTCTTCTGCTTCCTTCCTCCTCTTCTCTTCTGTCTCTTCACCTTAACGTTGGAGGAACAGTCCAGAGTCTGATTGTTTTTTTGTGGTTAGTTGTGCTCGTCTCTTTTCCTTTCTTTCTCTATCTCTCTATATCTTCTCTCCCCCACCATCACCACCACTATCAACACTACCGATAGATTAAACGCCCGCCCCTCCCCAGCCTCCCCTCCTCTTCAATCAGCCCCGTCGACGTCACCGCCTACCATTTAGTCATCTCTCCCTCCCCCTCCTCTCCCCCGCTCAACGGGGGTTGACTTTATCCAAATTCAGATCCGCACTATCATCTCAAGAGGATTATCTCTCCGAGAAAAACAAACACTGAAACAAGAGCAATAGAGACTTGAGGCCCCTCCCAAAATGGGTCCTCGACGCCGCCACCAACTGGTCACCGATTCCGAATCGGACTTCTCCGAGTCGGATATTTCGATGATCGAGTACCCCGGCCGCAAGGTGAGCCATCGACACCGCTCCGTGTCGCGGCACCGCCACTTCAGCCCGGAGTACAGCAGCAGCAACACCTACCTCAGCCCGGTGCTGCACTCGGACGCCCAGCTGCAGCACCTGCACCGGTCGGCATCGACCGGCGCCCGGCGACGCCCCGACCGGCACCAACGCGACTACAGCCAGCAGCCGGTCGCCGTGATCGTGGACGTCAACAACCACAACGACACCAAGTCCGACAATAAGACCGATACTAAGACCGACGCCAAGACGGATTCGCGCAACAAGAGCGCCACCAAGCAGCGTAAGGCCGAGCATCGGCTGCAGAACAATTACGTCGACTACGACTCCGAGGACGAGACCAACCTTCGCAGTCACCGCCGCCGTCCACGGTCCAGCACCGCCAGCATCTCCCGCGAGGCCTCTCCCCGCGCCCCCGCGGTGGCAGCGCCCCCACCCCCGCCGCAGATGATGCCCGCCGGCCGCGACCGCGACTTCGAGCTGGTAATCGACCAGCGGCTGCTGGAGCGGAACGATGCCCGGCAGGACTTCGAGCTATTCCGGCAGCAGCAGGAGATCGAGCGGCTGGAGCGCGAGCTGGCCCGCCACCGCGAGGTCCGCGAGCACCAGCAGGAATACCGGCCGCACCATGAGGTGCGCATGCTCAAGGAGGAGGAGGACTGGTACGAGGACGAAATCAGCGAGCGGCTGCGGCGGCTGGAGCGCTTCGAGAAGAAGCAGCGTATGGAGGAGGAGCAGCGCCAGGTGGAGCATCGTTACAAGCTGATTAAGTTCGAGGAGGCCCAGCGCCAGGCCGCCGAGCAGGAGGAGCTGAACCGCAAGATGCGCCAGAAGCGGCTCGAGGACCTCCAGCGCAAGATCGACGAGGAGGAGGAGCGCGAGCGCATCAAGAAGGAGATTCGCGATGAGGAGGCCAGGCGCATCCTCGCCGAGCAGGAGCGTGCCCGCAAGGAGGCCGCCATGAAGCAGGCTGCCATCGATGAGTGGAAGCTGAACGAGGAACGGCGCATGATCGCTGAGCGCGAGGAGAAGAGGCGTCGTGATCACGAGTTCAAGGAGAGATTGAGACTCGAATTCGGCTACAACGAGCACGAGATCGAGGAAATCCTCCGCAAGAAGGAGAAGAAAGAGAAGAAAGAAGAGAAGGAGATCGAAAAGGAGCATAAACAGGAGAAGAAGGAGGAAAAGAAAGAAGAAAAGAAAGAGGAAAAGAAGGAGAAGGAAAAGGAGAAGGAGAAGCTTCCTGAGCTTGAACCCCCACACCAGCGAACCACCTGGATCAAGGTATTACATCCCATTACTTCCCCCGCACTTTCACGTCGTAATCCGAAGCCCAACTGACCAACCGGCTCTAGGTCCACCATAAGCACCTCCTCCCTGACACACTGATTGCCTATCGCTTGCCCTGGGATTGGGACGATGTACGTGAGCCCTGAGGATATCCGCTCCCCAAGCATGACAAAAGCCACTGACTTCCACAAACAGCTCGACAGCAACTACATCATCATCAAGCAGTGGATCTCCGAAGACTTCCAGGAAGAGCTCTTCGCCCACACGCGGCGCCTGCGCGAAGGCAAGCTCGTCACTCAAACCTCCAGCACGCTGACGGAGCTCAAGGTCAACGACAGGAAAAAGGACAAGATGTACCTTGTGCGCAAGAAGAACCCCGGTGGCCGCGCCTGGATTCTTACCTGAGAGCCAAGTCCACCACTGATAGAAACACCGCCCGCCCATTCTGAACTTATGATACCATGATCTTGCTTAACGTGTCACGAAATTCGGTATCACCAGCCCTTTTTGATGATTTTGTCTATTTGTTTCTGTTTTTTTTTTCTCTGGTACAATTCGTTGAAATGCAGTCAGTAAGTATGCTTATATCGATCGATTGATCTTTTCATTTTCCTCATGAGTTGGGATTTGTGTGATGGATTTTTTTTTCTCTTTTCCCTTTCCAAAGGAGTTAATAACAACATATGATACAATTGATTCTGATGCTGAAAGAAAAGATTGCTCGAGCCTCCCTTCTTCTTCATCTATGTATTTCGTAATGGAAACCCAAAAATAAAATCGGAACCGAGGAAACAAGATAAGATGCAAGCGCTTCCGAAAAGACCAAGATTCGATTTCCTTCATCAGCTTTAAGAGCGCGACTCACCCTGCGCAGCCCACTGGACCTCAGCGCGGAGAATCAGTTCCTCGTAGACCGTCCAGGCGAGCGCCGAGCTAAGAGCCTTCCTCGTGATACGCAGACCCAGCCCGCCGAAGAGGCTCCGCACGCCGTCCTCACTGACCATCAGCCTGGCAGCACGCATCATGTTACCGTACCGACCCGGCATAAGCTGCAGGCGCGTCTTGACCGCGTCAAAAGGATTCGTGATCGCCGTGGCCAGACCCGCGGCCAGTCCTCCCGAGACGAAGTTAATCGATGAGGACGACGGCGATCGAAGTGGTTGTTGCTGACTCTCTGATGGGGTACTACTGGCCAACGAGGCCAGATGACGCTTCAACTGCTCGTAGAACAGCACGTACAACCCGGCGTAGGGCGCGTCCCGGGCGGCCGTGGCGCCGAAGCCCGAGAACAGCCCGCGCACGCCCTCCGTGCGCACGATGTCGCGCCCCGCGCTCATCAGGCTGCGGTATGCATAGAAGTCCGATTCGTATCGCACCTTCAGCACCGTCACTGGCATCATCACGAATCCCGCTGCCACCCGCGCCGCGGCGCCCGTGGCTAGGTTGGCGGTGTTGGAGAGTTTGGGGAGGGCGGACGAGGAGGATGTAGTTGCGCTGGTGGTGCTGGTGTTGGTCGGATTCTTAGGGCCGTTGGCCAGGGCGAGTGGCGTCCCTGTTTGGGCGAGGCTTTGGCGCAGCGAGTTCAGGCTTGTGAAGTACAGTGCTGAGCCGAAGCCGGTGCGCAGCGCGGAGGGGAGCGTGCCGCGCCATAGTCCGCGGATTGGTTGCGGGGATGAGAGGATTGCTTTCAGGGTTGGGAGGAGGGATGCGGACTGGGATTGTTGGATGCGGGTTTTGAGGAGGTCCGCGGGTTGTAGGAGGATTGAGGACGTTAGTCCTGAACAGAGACCTGCTGCGAAGTGGAAGGTGGTTTTTGAGGCTGTGATTTGGGACGCTTGTTGTCAGTGGTTGATCGTGTCGTTTGCTTGTGAGTGGAGAGAGACTCGGACAGAGGAGGGAGATGATGTGGATGGTATGGATGGTATGGATCGACTCACGTGTGGAGGTTGTTTTCACCTGCGTCACTGCATAAGAGGCATTGTTCGACATTGCTTATGAAGTCTTCCTTCAGGCCTGTTCCTGGGCAACTTCAATGGCAGTAGATGAGATTAGAGCGGAAATACCAGGCCTCAGTTCATCGAGAATTGAGGATGGGGTTCGAAAGTACGAATCGGCGAAGAATTCAGATGTCCAAGACAAGGCCGCATAAAAGCGGTCACAGTCGCAGTGATAAGGGCAGCGACAACATTTCAATCGGACAAATAGACGAAGAGAGAGATAGACTTTGCGGGCAAGAGATGGAAAATTTGCCTGAACCCAGTCAGGTACAGAGTTCCAGAGGCAAAAGAAAAAAAATGATAAAGAAAGACGGTGTAGAGGAAGAAAGAAGACTTGGACATTCGCAGTGGAAGACCGACTGGACCCATCCAATTTTCCTGAAGCGGACGGAGCGGATCTCGAGTGAGTGAGTGAGTGAGAATTGGTGAAGTCATCAGTGGCTTGCACGGAAAGCAGGCTGATTGGCTGAAACAGAGTCACCAGCCACAGTTTATTCTCCCAGGTTGTATTGTTCTTCCGAACAGTCCCGCGCAAGGGATTACGATGCAGCTTAAGCTTATTATTCGGTCCAGATGTTTGAAAGCAAAGGGTCTGGTACTTGTGCTGTCAGTAATCCCAGCTCTTTTCTAAGTCTACTATAGGACGGACCCCCAACTATGCCAAGTAAAAAGCTAGCTGTGTCGCACCAGGTCGGATAACGGAGGGCGTAGTACATACTTCATCATCATCATCATCATCATCAGCCGCCCAAGTCAAAGAGAATCTCACTCCCTTCTGCACCTCAATTCTATCTAGCATCCAGCCACCAATGCTTCTTTTGAGCAGAGCTAGATACGCCTCCTAGACAGTTTGTATGTTGGAGCTGTCAGACAAGCGGGATGGTCTGCCTTACTTGAACAATGAACGCTTGATAATGAAGGTTGTCTTACGAAGAGCAAGCCGCGGAGGAAATGCCGCGAGCAGAAGAATGCTACTCTATCCCCAGCATTTCATGGCCGTTCACAACCTGACCATTGGGCCGGGCCAATCGGCAGGCGAATAATGCTGCCTGACAGTTCGACCGGATCGGGGACGGCGGATCAGCAGAGCTGGTCTTCGATCGACGTCACGGGTCTGAGACTGAGGGGGAGATTCCGTAGGGCAAAAAGAAGAGGCAGCAGACAGACAGACACTGACTGGAGTGGAACTGCGACTTTTCCAAGGCAGTCTCCATTTGCCAACCTCGGCTTTTTGCTTTTTTCCTCATTCTCCAAACCTCACGGCTACCTACTTACCTACCTTGCTATGCGCTTCTGCCTATAGCCTTCCCTCTTACATAACCTCGTTGAGTTGAGAGCTTATCACAACCCCTCTGTACGGCGGAGAGCTCCCTCCCTCCGTCCATCATGTCTCGATGGGCTTTACTTCCGAACATTCCGTATCCGCCGCCTAGGTCGGGATACTGGAGCCCCGTCACCTCGACCTTAAATTGGTGTGAAGAGGTCCGCGCCTTGATCTCATCTCGCGTTTGAGGATCATATCTAACGCTAACGTTATCTACGCGTAGGATTACTATGTCACGATTTACTCCGCCGAGATCGTCAACACTTTGACAAACCTTCTGTTCATGTGGCTCGGGATCAGGGGCATTCGCAGCTGTCGTCGCAACGGACATGACAGAATCTTCGAAGTAGCCTACTACGGCTACCTTGTGGTCGGAACCGGCAGCTTCCTCTTCCATGCAACGCTCAAATGCAAGTATCATTCCACTATACAATACGATTCCCCTGCGAATACTGACTGCCGACATTTGTCCCTTTCGTATAGACCCCATGCAGCTGGTCGACGAACTGTCCATGATCTACACCACATGCCTGATGTGCTATGCCTCCTTCTCCTACTCAAGAGCGACGCCCTTCCGCGTCGTCCTGGGCTTCTTCCTGGCAGGCTTGGCCATCTTCATCACCCTCTACTACCACTACCTCCAAGACCCAGTGTTCCATCAGAACGCCTACGCCCTCCTGACCACGATCGTCGTCCTTCGCAGTATGTACACCATGGAAGTGACGCTACGCCCGAAGTGGCGCCACTCCACCGAAGCGGACCGCCTCGCGCGCGAGAGACAAGGCCTGCCCGTTACCACCAAGGAGCACCAGCACTACGAGAACGTCCGGGACATGAAGACTCTCAAGACCATGTGGTTCATGGTCGTGTACGGTCTAAGTATGTTTCTAGGCGGATTCGCGATATGGGGCTTGGACAATGTCTTCTGCTCGAAGATCCGCGGATGGCGCCGGCAAGTGGGTCTGCCTTGGGGCATCCTTCTCGAGGGTCATGGATGGTGGTATGTTTCATCCTTCTGCGGGAGCTAGCTTGCGGCCGTGATAGAACGTAGGCGCAACAATGCTAACTTATAAACTTGTTAGGCACTTGATGACGGGCTTCGGTGCGTATCTATATATCATCTGGGGTATCTGGCTCCGCCATTGTCTGAATGACCGCCAGGAGGAGTATCATCTGTGGTGGCCTCATGTTTGGAATGTCCCTGAGGTCGTTCGCACGAGCAACAAGGGTACGGGTGAGAATGGCGCAGCGAAGAAGTCGAATTAGATCAGACATGTTCTTTTGTTTTAGATGTGTTGTTTGGGGTCGATGTGAACACTAGATTAGGGGACGCATTCTGTGGCTCGGTTCAGGAGGATAAGTGACCCGCTTCTTGTCCAGTCAGCTTTGACGTTCTCGGAAAATCATATTACTTATAGAAGTACAGTACAATGATCGAATCCGATTGCTACGCGACACGCGCGCTTACTTTTCTGGTGATAGTAATCTACTGTATGAATGCGGTGTATAAGTATGCGCGGCGCCATACCCATCTAGCACAAAGCAAGCAACACGATCATCTATATAATCAGAACAGATCACGTTCTTCACAGCTTCGACTCAGGAGCAGCCTTCTTTGGTCGTTCCGCCTTGGGCACATGCTCCTTCCAGCGCGGATCGATCGTGACTTTCTCAATCTTGGACTTCTTATGCCACTGTTCCCGAAAAGCGTCCTCCTCGACGCGCCAACGCTTCAGCTCCGCACCCAGCCACTCGCTGGCCGCCTCGGCGCATTGCACCGGCGCCTCCTGCGCCAACAAATGGCCAAAGTCCTTCAAATACACATCCCGCACGCGCCCCGCCGCCACCCCTCCGCTCCCACCCAGCCCCGTCCCCGTCGCCTTCATCTTATCCTCCATCATACTAGGGAGACACATATCCGACTTCCCAGCGAAGATATAGCAGACGCTCGGCCGGAGATGCGGAAGCATAGCGAACACGCGCGACGGCTCCGGACGATAGAACGGCCACGAGCCCAGATGCTCAGGGTTCAGATCTGGATGCGTCGTCCGATTCATGGGAACTTTCTTCCCCGGTGGTCCGTCGTAGTTGGGCCGGGAGAAGGTGAAGACCTCCTGGTGGAGGGTGGTTTTAAGGGTGACGGGTCGGTCTTCGGTGGTGACGGTGTTGTTCTGCGTCTTCTTACCTGCATCCAGCGGATGGATCGCCGTGGGAAGCTCCCGCAGACCGTGCTCGATCCAGCGGGCGAGCACGCGCACGTCCCACGCTTGGTAGAATGGGCTGCGCTTGAAGCCCTCCGCTGCCGCTTGGCGCGAGGGCCACACCTCGCGCCGGTAGGTCGAGAGTTGCGTCGTTTTGGCGATCAGTTCGCGGTGGTGTAGGGCCATTTCTAGGTGGTCTAGTTGCGTGGATTCGCGTTGGATGACTGGGTCCAGGAGGACTAGTGTATGGATGAGGCGTGGGTGCATGAGGCATAGTTGGGCTCTGTGCATGGGGTTGGTATCTGGGTTAGTTGGAGAACGTGGGTGGTGGTTCACTGAGGAGCGCCGGGGAGGGGATTACCTACAGGTGTGCGCCGCCCATGCTATGGCCCACCCCGACGATGGGCCGTGGCATCTCCTTGCGCTTGACATTGAGGAGATGAAGCAGGTCTCTGGGGTGATCGAACCAGCTTGCTGTTTGCGTGCGCGCGACTTGTTAGTTGCCTAGCAGTAGTCGTGTTGATAGCGAAGTCGGTGAAACACATACGGTCATTTCCGAGAAGGTCTTCGTTCAGCACACTGCTCTGGCCCTGGTGCGCCACGTCTGCCATCCAGATGCTCCGAATACGAAAACCATTGGCTTGAGATCGTGCGTAGATCTCCTCCCACAAAGGTTCGTAGAGTTCCTGGAATCGGATGTCAGCTTTCCGTGTTCAAGGTGCGGGGGCGCCGTGTAACAGCGGTAGTTGATTCCGCAGTACCTTGGGGAACCCATTGGCATGTGCGGCGAGGATCGTGACGTCCCCCGGCTGAGGGCTGGAGTTATCTAGCGGAATATACTGTTTTACTGCGAGGTTTAAGATGTCTTCCTGCTCGTCGGCCGTGGCTGCGGGATACTCTCGGATATGTTGGCATTCGACCGTATGCTCGACGACCCGGAAGGGGCCGGCCGTCGTCGTTTGTGATGACATGTTAGGTACTGGCGGCTATGGGATGGGTTTCTATGGGTCTATGAGTACGGCAGTACTGTACATATATACCTATCCAACATGTGCCTCGGAGCGTGCACGGGGTCGGGAGGAATGCCGTTTCCCCAGATCGGAGTGAGGAACTGCCGGGGGTTTGGCATGAGCCGAGGTTGTTTTACTCGGGTGCTTCTTCAAAACTGCCTGGCTTACATATTTCAGAACAACAGAGTCACTATCATATCACCAGGCAAGATGGCCGAGTTGGTCTAAGGCGTCAGGTTAAGGTTACCTTAACACCCAGCTTCACAAGCTTCCTGATCAACGTAAGTTGGCGTGGGTTCGAATCCCACTCTTGTCATATCTTTTTGTTTTTTTGTGCCGGTCTCTTAGTAGTTCCAATCTTCTTCTCTGACCTAAATAACCACTGCGAATGCCGTGCATGACCATCACTGTAGCTTCCAACTAAAGGAATGGGTGACAAGGTCCTGTCATAAAGTCGCCTGTGATAACAGGTATGTTCTGCGTAAGCAAGGATATACAAATGTACATGGTCTATTAGAGATGTGTTACAACGTGATAGTGGGGCTGAATCATCTTCACCAAGTTATATCTCTCTGGATGAATCTATTCCCCCCCTCACTATCCAGGGCTCAAGAAAAGATCCATCCTGCCACCGCACATGGTACCACGAAAGCTGACACATCGCACTCCAAAATCGATGATGCTATCCATGGATGCCGCTGATCTGTGATACATCTTATCTACACGTGACGTGGTGTCGTGCAGCGCGTCGGCGCGTCGCATTTGCAGACCCACGAGATTCATCTGCAAGTCCAACTTCTCAGCACACCCACCAATCCCACTTTATTCGATCAAATTTACGGTCGCTGCCATCTATCCCTGAGATACTACACAGAGCCACAGGCATATCGCTCCCACCATGGGGGACCAAGGGGGAGAGAGTCAACTCTTTAACCAGTGCAAGATCTGTATCATATGCTCCAGAGATCTCAGTGCCGATACGGCGCATCAGGTCAGTTTCTCTGTACCCTGGCGCGCCCAGACCCCCTCGAAAGACAAATTCTGACGTATTGGCCTACGTAGCTGGCATTTACCTTCGAGCAACATGGCGGCGAAACCGTTATCTACGAGCCACCGGCCGAATTCCCACCTCTGACCGAGTTCACGCACCTGATGAGCTGCACCGTCGACTTCCCCGTGTTTGACGCTGCGAATGATGCCTTGATTCCCATCGTCAAGCCATACTGGCTCCAAGCATGTCTCCAGAAGAGAAAACTTGCCAACCCACGGCAATATAGCCCTGACCCAAGGTTGTTCTTGAACGATGTGGTAGTGACATGCGGTGACATTCCGGAGGGCGACAAGGATGCAATAATAGGTGGCGTTCTGGCAAAAGGTGGGCTGTATAGCTCCAGGATATCTCAGCCGGTTACCCACCTGGTCGATCTCACTGCAGACTCGGACAAGGCTCGCCTAGTTATCGCGAAGAGGTTGAAGGTCAAGATAGTCTTGCCACACTGGTGAGCAGATCCAAACGGAAGCAATTAGACCGGGTCCATGCCTAACAGGTACTACCATAGGTTCGATGACTGCCTCAAGCTCGGACGACGAATTGACGAACGCCCGTATCTTCTCCCCGACCCCGAGATCTTGCGCGCGGCACCCGACGCGCCTATACGTTCCTCCGAGAATCGAGATATTATCGGTGCATCGACGCCTGATCCTACCAGCCTACCAGCATCCGTGCAGTCGCTCGATGCATTGCCCAGATTGACTGTCTTCGAGGGCAAGAGTATCATGCTTGCTCCGGATCTGGGGATCGGATCGCGGCTGTCTGGCTCCATTGAGGAGATCATCAGGAGTGGTGGCGGCTCTGTCGTTACCGACATATCAATTGCGGACATCTTGATTTGCCGCTACAGAGAGGGCTTTGCTTATCGCATGGCATTCCAACTGAACAAAGACATCGGCAACCTATCCTGGCTTTATCACCTCATGACCTACGACACCTGGACTTCTCCCTTACGGCGACTGCTACATTACCCCGTCTCACGCAAGGGTATCCCAGGATTCAATGGTTTCAAGATCAGTCTGTCGAACTATGTTGGTGAAGCCAGGAGCTATTTGGAGCACCTTATCACGGCAACCGGTGCCGAATGTACCAAGACCCTCAAGCAAGAAAACACACACCTGGTGACCGCCCATGGAAACAGCGAGAAGTGCGCTGCGGCGAAGGAATGGGGTCTACAAGTCATCAACCACCTGTGGCTTGAGGAAAGTTACGCGAAGTGGAAGCTGCAACCCGTCTCTGATCCCCGTTACACGCACTTTCCCAAAAGAACGAATTTGGGTGAAGTCGTTGGTCAGACCAGACTGGATAGAGCCGTCCTCGAAAGTCAGGTTCTGCTCGAGAGCAATGCTGCGGCGCAGACACCGGCGAGTCCGCGACCGGTGATGCAGCGCAAGGATCAGAACACTGTGACTGCAAAGACGCCGAAACTGGTCCAACAGTCGTCCGCACAAACCATTGAATCCGAGAACGAAGTGCTACGCACGACGGATGCTACACCCCAGGCTGCAGGCAAGTCCCGGAAGGCCATGGACCCTCCCAATCTGCAGACGCCCGCTCGGTCCCGGCTTACGTCCGAAGGCAAAGAGAATGATACGCCGTCGAGCACCAGCAGTCGTAAGTCAAAGGAGGTAGCCGCTGCTCGACTACATGATCTTGCACCGGACATGGCGTTGTATGAGAAGGAGAAGAGACGTGTTGGAGGGGTGATCCACGGAGGCCGAAGAGTGGGCGACGAGGATCGCGTGGTGCTCAATCCCAGCAAGAAGCGGGTCTCCATGGAACCACAAGACGAGAGCGAGGAGGATGATACGACAGATACGAAAAGACAGAAGAAGTCCAGACCCCCTGTTGCAATGCACCTGTTGATTACCGGATACCAGAAATGGGTGAAAAATCCTAAGACGGAGGATTCGGACAAGGTATGTCTGTTCTTTTCACTACCAGAAACCCGGTATCTGACCGTATATAGCGACAATTGCGTGATCTTGGAATCTTAGTTGTCCCAGACGCGAAGCGGTGCTCTCATCTTGCTGCCCCGTCGATCCTCAGGACCCCCAAATTCGTCAATGCACTGGCCTACGGTCCGGTGATCATGAATATCGATTTCATCACACAGTGTCTCAAAAAGAACGAACTCTTGGACCCTGCGGATTACATCCTCAAGGACAATGCTTCGGAGGAAAAGTACGGTTTCAAGCTCGAGAATGCCCGGACAAATGCCAAGGCGAACAAGAACAGGCTGCTGCATGGCTATCAAATCTACTGTGTGGATACCATCCGCGGTGGTTTCGATGCATTCAAATCCATTGTGGACGCCAACGGTGGACAATGCACCCTGTTCCGCGGCCGTGTCTCATACCGGTCTCAAAGAGAGGAGAGCGAGGAAAGTTCGGGAGATGATGACCTGAGTCGCAAAGAAGTATATCTTCTGAGCAGCACGGATCCGGATCAAGTGAAGACATGGCCTCGCTTTCGGGCAATGGTTCTAAGTACCGGCAAAACGCCACGGATTGTTCGTGTGGAGTGGCTTCTTGACATGGCCATGTCACAGAAGCTGCACGCGGCCGATGTCTATGAGCTGAATGAAGAGACAGTTGAAGCCTCGGAACAGTAAGTAAGTCGGGATCTAGATGGTGTTAGGAGTGCTGCGTCCAAGCGTCTTTGCTGTTTTCAATGAAGTGATCGGCATGGCTCTTATGGGTCATCTTGCCTGGGACTTTTGTACATGACTCACATTTTGCATGAAAATAGCTTGTTGTAACCCACAGTCAAATGTGTCCAGATATCTTGAACAAATGACAGATTTTAGAAAAACTTGACACCCTCCTGGCCTTCGCCGCCAAATACCTGCGCCTTCCCTCGTTTGACGAGAACATTGAGGGACTTGAGCATGACGTCGGTATCCATCCCATGCCATTCTGAATGATCAGCTTCCCATGCCTAGACATGCACTGGTATAACATACCTTGCGACATGGCCCCCTCGCCTTCGATTAACTCATAGACTGTGAGAACCACGTTCTTCTGTCCCGTATTTTCCACCTAGATCCCAGGTCAGTGAACGTATGACCTTCGCGTGTACGAGAACACATACCCAATCAGCTACAATGCCCGCCCATTCCTCTGGTCTCTTCCACCATATCCGAGCCACCGTCTTGCTATTTCCATCGATCCACTCCGCTCGCTGCCCCCCGCCGCCCTCCTCTTCGCTCTTCGCCATCCAATCCAGTACGTCCCGCGCATCTTTCATGGAGAGTCGTTTTCTAAGCGCACTGTTGTAGAACAGAGGACTCTCGATGGCATCGCTAAGCGTCAAACGGTAAATCCGGTGATGGCGACACCACGACTGTACCAGGGAGGACCATTTCTGTAGCTGGGAGGTGCGCGTTGCGCTATTCGGCTGCGGGGTGAAGAAGGGCGGGAAAGAGTAGGTGGAGGGGAATTGGAAAGGAGGCGCTGTCGTCATTGTCTTCCGAAAACTGGTGGTGGTATGTATGTGCGTTGTGAGGTAGCCGTCTAGAATGGGTATATTGTCGTGCAATAGCGTGAATCATAAGGTAGGTAGTTCAAGTAGGTTGTCTGTTCTGGAGCTCACTGGCTCATAGTAGTATCGATAAGCGTAGGCGGGCGGCGGCGGCAGCCCCGCGATGGAAGACCGAGCGAGCTAAACTCCGCTTTGAGAATTTTCCGTTTCGTTCGAGGCTCTGTCACCGTTCTTCTTTTCCCCCCCTGCACGTCTTGCCATTGGACTACTTCATTGGAGCCAGTCTATTTTAACCCCAATACTCCGGAATTGGATACTTTCGAATCTTTTATTGACGATCACAATGACCCCTCCTCCCGCCAAACGCCAGAAGCGCGATGAGTATCGCAAGCAGGCAGTCGCTACGAACCCCGAGGGCAGCAGCGAGACAGGCCTCCCGACTCGAGTCAAGCTGCCCAAGAAGAAGTTCTACCGTCAACGTGCGCACGCGAATCCTTTCTCGGACCATCAGTTGCAATAGTATGTTGGCCTATCTCTCGATACACGGCGCTTTGCACCTATCCTTGCCAGATGGCTGGCTAACTTCGGTTCTCTCCAACAGCCCCCTCAGCCCGGCGCATATGGACTGGGCCTCGCATTTCCCTGCCTACGTGAACCCAGACCCATCACAGACGAACCTGATTGGCACCCGCAAGCTGCTGAAGGATGTTGAGGTCGTGGATATCGGGTGTGGATTCGGAGGTCTGCTTGTCGGACTTGCGCCGTTGCTCCCGGAGACGTTGATGGTTGGTATGTAGTACTGTCGTCTGTTATCGCGACCAACCCATCCGGCGCGTTTAAACCTCGCATAAACCAGACACTAACGCGGTTTGCAACACTCAGGAATGGAAATCCGCGTCTCCGTCCTCGACTACCTGACCACTCGCATCCAAGCCCTCCGCGCCCAGCAACAGCAACTCCAAGCCAACCAATCCTCCACCACCACGACCACCACCACCACCACTACCGATACCACCACGCAAGCCACCACAGAAGCAACAGAAACCACCAACGAACCCACCTCAACAGAGACACCCAACACCACAGAATCCACCCCCAACGATGATAACAACAACACCAACGAACCCACAACGCTCGTCCCAGGCGGCTACCAAAACATCACCGCGATCCGCAGCAACACGATGAAATTCCTGCCCAACTTCTTCGCCAAGCACCAGCTCTCCAAGATCTTCATCTGCTTCCCGGACCCGCACTTCAAGGCCCGCAAGCACAAGGCCCGCATCGTCTCGGAGACCCTCAACGCCGAGTACGCCTACGCCCTGCGGCCCGGCGGCCTGCTGTACACCATCACCGACGTCGAGGAGTACCACCACTGGGTGCTCCACCATTTCCGCGAGGGCGAGGACGAGGACGCCGCCGGCAGCGTCAAGGAGCTGTTCGAGCGGCTCACGGACGAGGAGCTGGCGAGGGATGAGTGTGTGCGCGTCATGAGCGAGGAGACCGAGGAGTCGAAGAAGGTTACCCGGAATAAGGGGAACAAGTATGTTGCTGTGTTTCGTCGGAAGGAGGATCCTGTTTGGTCGGCTTAGAGTGGAGGTTTTCTTTGGGATGAGGGTGGTAGTTGTTGTTCGGTTGGACACTTCCTCTTCTTCGTCTTCTGAAAGGAAACGTTTGGTTGGGATTGAAAAAGTTATGGAGTTGTATAGATTAATTGTATATGCTTTGCGACTGCATTGGATTCTTGCGTGTTTGCTTGAGACCGAGAATCAGAGGTTGAGTAGTGTGGTGTAGTGTGTATGTGATGCTAATTGTGACTGGTTCTTTATACCAGGGCTGACTTCTCCGTACTAACAAACTCATTTCGATTGTCATGATGCTTCGAGAACTAAAGAAATAATGCAACGTGCCAAAATCAAAACATCCTGTAGAAAACACGGCCGTAACGCAAACATAAAACAAAGATTCTCATGCTCATACATTGTGTCAAATATACTGCGTGCTGAACTCCCGCTTGCTGCTATGCATATGACATGGTGGATTTATAGTAAGTCGGCAATCAACAAAAGAGAAATAAAGCGAGAACGGCACTTGGCCAGAGATTGTATAACAACAGCCTGTCTCAATCGATGAACAGCACTGCGACGGGAGAGTGGTAAATTGTGGAGCCACCGGCTCGCATCATTCCCAGAAGAGAAAGAATGTATCAACTCGCACCGCGGTGAATCGAACCAGGATTTATGCGGGTTGCGGTGGCTGACCTCAAGGAGATGCCTTCAGCCGGATGCCTTCGCATCTTTCACACACGGCTAGTTGGACAGGTCCGCCGATGATACGGCCCTTGGCCGTTCGTTTGGGCTCGCCCTCTCGGACGAAGTACCGGCCATCAGGACCGAACCCGTCGCCGCACTCATGACAGACAAAGCACTGGTCATGCCACTGCCCGCCAATGGCGGAGATCACGACATCATCTAGAACAGGCTTCTTGCACCCTAGGCATCGAGGGGCCGTACGGCGGGAATGGCATTGCAAGCACCATGCAAACCCGTCCTTCTCCACGAATGGTTTTTCTGAGCTGAAAGGCTAGAATTCGATGATGGTTAGCCTGCGGGAGGTTCAAGGAATAAAGAAGGGGTTCTCTTACATCACCACATTCAGCACAGAAGAAATGACCGACATGCCATTCGGCTCCGCACGCCACAACCACTTCCCCTTCTATTGGAGTCTTACAGCTCTTGCACCTGGGACTGAACAGCTCATGAAAGTCAAGGTGACAATAGAATCTCAATGCGTGAGCTTCTTCATCATCAGCTGGTGACTCAGCCAATCGCTCGTTTCTCTTCGCGTCGGGTTCCTGGTAGAACGCTACGCACTCGAGAGGAGTCTGACAATGATGGCACACAAAACATTCCGGATGGAATCGCGTGCCAGCAGCAGTCACAATTTTTCCAGCAATTGGCAGCGAGCAGCTCTCACACTTGGCTGTAGGAACTCCGGAGCGTGTGTAAGTTGACAGCCAGCGGCTCGGTGATGCTGTGGCGGTCTTTGAAGGGGGCCGGTTCAGGCCTGCATTACTCTTAAGCGGGGTCGGGGATGGCTTCACGGCCATTCCTGAGCCCCTATGCGAGCCAGAGATCTCAGAAATGGTGGGCTCCTTGTCATCCGGAAGATTTATCACTGGTACGGATGGTGCTTCGGACACTTCAATCGTGGGCGCGGAAGGCGGTGGCTGCGGTGTTGCGTCCCAGCCTCTGTCGCGCTTGGGAGGGCTTTGCGCCTCAGTAGGTTTCCATGTGGGATCGAAGCTCACTATGGGTCGGCCAGCTCGGTCGCTCACTGCAGTCGGCATAGGGAGTCTAGTGCTGCGATCTCTGAGTTTCTTGCTCGTCGCGGCCCGAAGTTCATCACTGCGGATCTCCAGGCCATCTTTCGTTGGGACCTCCTGCTGTTGAACCTCAGTTGCAGGCGGCGCTTCTTGGGAATGAGGCTCGTTCGTCGTATACTCAGGATTCCTCGTTTGGCTCGGAGGATTCTTATGGATCTCGAAGCGGGAGAGCTTATCAACAAAAGAGAGACTACCAAAGCGACCAGGCAGGGGCCGGGACCCGCGAGGAAGCGCATTGCGGGGTTTATTCCTCAAGGCAGATGATTCGGATCTAGAGAAGATCAAACGAGAACCCTCATCCTTCCGAGGAGAGAGATGGGGCTCTTCGTAGATCTGGTCGTTGGGGTTTCTGAAGATACCTCTTGATGTTTCGTTGCTGCCATTCGTCAAACCTAACCCATGGCTGTCGCCCGAGGCCACTGATGGCTCCCCTTCCCGGGGTAGTGCAAAATTGACTTTCAAGCCACTTCGCAGGCTTCCTCCTTTGGTTGGACTCTTTGGCGGGCTTGAAGCTTCTTCCAAAATGGCTTGCGAGTCGCCGCCGAACGTAGACTTTCTATCACTTCCCCGGAAGCCATTCGTCCCGGTATGGCTGACGGTCGATCCTTGATAGACAACTCGACGGCTATCCCTGCGTGCTGTTGGGGAGCTGGGACCACCATTCTGAGAAGCGAAGCTATTCCTTGGTGGACTCTGTTGCAGATCGCTCAAGTCGGGGTTGTGGTAAGGCGCATATGGGTTCTTGTACGGTACACCTGGATGTTGATGCATCCATACCAGTTCGGTGGCCTCATCTTGGGCAGCGGCGTGAAGATCGTGCTCATCATGGAGATCCACCTCCTGCAAGGCATCACGCAAGGACCTGGCCTCTTCCTTTTCTATGCGTCGCTGGGGGTTCTCACGGTACGTAGGCCTTGAGGAAATCTGTTCCACACGAGAGAAAGCCCTTGCCGGTGATACGGTTTGCCTAATCGGGATCGTCCTCGGTTCCTGGACCAAGGGACGTCCGGTGGGACCTCCTAAAGAAGAGGCTGGTCTATGGTTAGAAAGCGAACTGGTAGCCCGGGGGAATCCGGCCTCTGCGGTGGGCGGGCTAGATTGCATCCGCGATGGACCATAAGACGACATCGCTGATGCCGCTCGCGGAGGTAGGTCGTCATGAGGATGAGAAGGCGCTGCAGCAGGTCTTGCGGGAAGTGGCCTAGATCCGCCAGGGCGCGTAGGACGATTTGTCCGCAAATCTTTCAGATAGGTTGCTGTGTGTTGCAGATTAGCATGATATTCCAACCCAAAGCGGTTACAGCCCATCTGAGGCCAGAATAGCCAGACGAAGGAGAGAATTCTTTGGCGCGGCAAGATAAACATACCAATCTGGTCGTCGGACATGTAAGTCGGGCCAGGCGGGGAGAACTTTCGTTGGCCCTCCTTGGGCTTCTGAAATTGAGGCCTATGCATCATACTGGCCATGAAGATGTATCCTGAGGATTCATAGACAACAGGAAAATATTTTGGGATGGGAAGGGGAGGGGTTTCGGCTGATGAGTTGGCTGCTCAAGGCAGGGAGGGCTATGAAGTCAGTGTCTAATATAGCGGAACAGAGCCAATGGGAGGCCGAAAGGTGGCTGGGGCGAGTGGACCGGAGACAAGCTGGAATGAACTAGACAGATCCGATCAGCCCAAGTCGATTTGTTACTTGTTTCATCTGCAGTGTCAGAGGAACGAGGATTGCTGCGATGGATACTAGTGCGCATGGACGATCGGAGACTAGAGAACTAGTGAGGGGGATGAGAAATATCAAACCCCGTCCAGCAGCAGCAGCAGCAGCAGCAGCAGCAGCAGGGGATAGATAAACATAAAAAGAGGAGATGAAATCCCGGAGATTAGACGGGCACGATAAGAAAAGGAACCAGGATTTCCTCAGGCACCTCAGCCTCACGAGCTGAGCTGAGTTGAGCTCTGACCATCAATGATGATGATAATGATTGTTATTGACCGGGTCTCGAATCCATCACCCGGGACAACCAGAGACTTAGGCACTCAGGCACAAAGGCATAAGCTTAGTCAGGTTATCTGCCAGGTTCGTGAGGCATGAGAAACATGACTGAGTCATTCAGGCCCTCTAAACCTGGTTGGGTTAGACCAATCTTCATGAGTGATGATGCGATGCCGAGACGATAAGTGCCTAAGGCAAGAGTAACCCCAAAGCACATGTAAACGAGTACTTTCTACTATGAAAGCAGACTTCCCGCAAGTTTCCGTGCGATGGCAGTCTCCTTCCTGATGCCGTGCAGCCGCACGTGGCGTTCGGAGTCTTTTCCTATCTCCAAAGCATGTCTGTGCCATTCAGGGTTGCTGGCATACTCTATAAGTGGACTTGTCATCTTCTGACCCAGTGGATAACCCCGGATTCGCATCTTCGCAGTGGAGCTGGTGTCATCATTCAAAAAAGTCTCCTACTGGCGCAATGCACCGACGCTACTCGTATTCCCCCCCCCAGACTCCGCACCGGGTCAATCGGCACATCAAGGACCCCTTTCACAGAGCCCAGCCCTCTTATCTTTTCGTGTGAGAATGGATGGCTGTTGGTCCAATGATGGGGTTCTTTTCGAGTCGGACAGCTCGCCGACCTGTGGCTGTCAACGGCCTTGACTGGTTGAATTTGGGCCAAACCCGGTCTGAAGTTGGAAAGATCAATGACACATCCTTAGCTTTAGCCTCTGTCTTTACTTAACTTTTCCTTTTATCCTTCGAGATGCGCTTGTTCTCCTCTTCTTGGCCGTCTGGTTTCACTTCCCTCGACTGCTCATGGTTGAGGTCGACACACATCTGGGATAAGCCTACACCGTGCTCCATGTTGCGTATCTGATCCAAAGGCAACCCACGAGGTCTAGCCCAGCATTCGATTTCTCGAAACTCTGCTCTTCCCTGGTTGGATGTAATCGAACATGGCGGATAATACTTCAATTGACATCATCCATTCGCGAGGATATGAGAGCGATCCGAATCTAGAATCCCCCTCTGATCTGGATAAGCCACAAGAGTCGGCCCCTCTAGACACAGAGTCCAAGTATGAGCAGGACGTTCCCCCCGATGGAGGATATGGTTGGGTCTGTGTTGCTTGTGTGTTCTGGATCAATGCCCACACTTGGGGAATCAACAGTGTCAGTCTTCGCCGTGGACGACTGCAAGCTACACCGGGGGTAGCCGACGGCTAACCAACCGATACAGAGTTACGGCGTGTTCCTCTCCTACTACCTCTCCCACGATGTGTTCCCGAACACCTCCGCCCTCTCCTATGCCTTCACTGGTGGCTTGAGTATATCGTGTGCACTCCTTGTGGCCCCCGTGGCTACGTACCTCATCCATGTCTTCGGCACGCGACTGACCCTCAACCTGGGAGTCTTCTTCGAGACGCTTTCGCTCATCGGCTCCTCGTTCGCCACGCAAAGATGGCACATCTTCCTCAGCCAAGGCGTTTGCTTCGGCTGGGGTATGGGCTTTCTCTTCGTTGGCAGCGTAGGGATCATCCCTCAGTGGTTCTCGCGGCGACGCAGCCTCGCGATGGGAATCAACGCCGCGGGCTCCGGTCTGGGCGGCCTTATGTACTCGCTCGCCGTCGGCGCCATAATCCCGCGCCTGGGCCTGCCCTGGGCCTTCCGCATCCTAGGCATCATCGCCTGCGTCGTCAATCTGGTGTGCGCCAATCTCCTGCGCGACCGCAACCAGGCCGTGGGCAGTCGACACCAGGCTTTCGCGCTGCCGCTCCTCAAGCGGCCGGAGTTTCTGTTGTTTCTGGGCTGGGGCGTCTTTAGCATGCTCGGCTACGTGGCCCTACTCTTCAGCGTCGCCAACTTCGCCCTCTCCGTCGGCCTAACCTCGCACCAGGGCAGCGTGGTCAGCGCCCTCCTCAACCTCGGCCAAGGCCTCGGCCGCCCTTTCGTCGGTATGTTCAGCGACCGCCTCGGCCGCATCAACATCGCCACCTTCCTTACCTTTCTGTGCGGCCTGTTCTGTCTGGTTATCTGGACCTTTGCGCGCAGCATGGGTGTCGTCTGCTTCTTTGCCGTGCTCGTCGGCACCGTCGCCGGGACTTACTGGGCGACCGTCACCCCCGTCCTCGCCGAGATCATCGGCCTCCGCGACCTGCCCAGCGGGCTGAGTATCACCTGGCTGGTGCTGGTGCCTCCCTGCACCGTGTCCGAGGCGATCGCTCTGCTGTTGCGCGACAATCACGCCCGCGACTCGGTGTATCTGCGCGTGCAGATCTTCACTGGGTTTATGTATATCGGTGGGTCCTTGTGTCTGTGGTTGGTCAGGGGGTGGAAGATTGCGGACTTAGCGCAGACGGCGGCAGGGAAATCACTGGCTGGGTCCTCGCCTCCGACTGGAGTGAAGGAAGCTCCGGAGGAGTCGAAGATCGAGAAGGCTGCGGCGGGAACGGATCCGCAGGCGACAGGTAGAGGAGCGCCAAAAATGAGTCTTTGGTCTCCGATCGGTCTGCTGCGTGGGATGGTGTCGTTGCAGAGGGTATAGTACAGGGTGGAGAAGCGAAGGCGGAGACTGAAAGATGTACCTGATTGAAGACGCTAGATATCAATAGTCGGAATAGAAGTTAGATTGAACATAACTAGACTCAGCACAATCATCCTACGAGAGAAAGACACCACTAGACGCCGAAATTCTCGAAAATCATGTCATTATATTGATATCACTTTTTCTTTCTTTCTTTACTATCCCTAAGCACCGCGACCCAAGATCAAGATCCGCACTCTACGCTTTCCAGCGCCCCGACCGCCTTCCTCCTTGACGGAGCTGACATTGACATTGACTTTCTGGAATAGCTCAACAGTAACGCCGTGCTCCTGGTCGGATTCGCCCTTGTTCGAGACGCGAAGCGTATACTCCTCGCTATCGAAGTCGCTCTGGCGGCGGACGACCAGCTCGCGGCGCTCGGCGACGGTGCGCAGGGCGGCGTCCTTGGGCAGGACGAAGTCCTCGAGGCGGACGACGCCCTCGATGCCGAAGCGCGGCACGAAGACGACGACGCCGTTCTCGAACACGCGCATCACGTAGCCTTCCTCCTCGATACCGCCGTCGACGCCGTCGGCGGCCATCTTTTCGCCGCGCGCCTTGAGCGCCTGCCCGACGTAGTACTCGATGCTGGCGCGGCCGGCGAACTGCGCGTTGCGGTGCCGGTAGTTGATGTTGCGGCAGATGTCCTCCAGCCGGTTGCGCGTCATCACCCCCTCCACCACGGCCCGGCCGTCCTCGCCCTCGTACCCGATCGCTGACGCGAGCTGTCGGTGGACGAGCAGGTCGGCGTAGCGGCGGATGGGCGAGGTGAAGTGCGTGTAGATGGGCGAGGCGAGACCGTAGTGGCGGAACTCCGACTCCGCGTGAGCGCCCGCGCAGAAGTACTCGGCCGAGGTCATGCAGCGTGTCGCCAGGATACGGACCAAGGTGTTGAAGAAGGGGTTCTTCTCGTCGACGCAGCGATCGAGGGAGTCGGCGAGCGCCCGGGAGCTGGATACGTCGAGGCGCATGTCTCGCTTCTTGGTGAGTTGGTTGATGAGTTCTTCGAAGTTCTGCGGGGGAGGCGTGGCGTGCCGGCGGAGCATGGCCGTCTGGGAGAAGGTGCTATAGATCTTGGAAGCAACGGTGATGTTGGCGTGAAGCATAAACTCTTCGACAAGGCTGTTCGTCTCAAGCATGGCCTTGGTCTTGACGTCGGCGAGCGGGTCGCCGACTTCGTCGTTGTCCGCCTCAATCCGGACTTCGGGGGACGCGAGGTTCAGGGCACCGGCGTCCATACGCTTCTGCCGGAGAATCTTGGAGAAGCGCAGCAAGGTGCGCATGCTCTCGGTCAATTCGTCGGTTTGTTTAGGGTCGTCGATGCGCTTCTGGGCCTTCTCGTAGCTGAAGGCTTCACGGGACCGGATAACCGACTTGGTGAAATCCGCGGACACAACCTCTGCATTGGGGGTCATCTCCCACAAGACGGAGAAGGCGTAACGCTCAACGTATGGCTTGAGGGAGCACAGGTCTGTACCAAGCAAGTGAGGCAGCATGTCAATACGTTTGTCAACCAGATACACCGTGGTTCCACGCTGCGACGCCTCCAGGTCCATGGCGTTGTTTGGCTTGACGAAATGTGAGACGTCGGCGATGTGAACACCGACTTCAAAGTTACCGTTAGGCAGTGGACGCGCATGCAGAGCGTCATCAATATCCTGACAGCCAGGTGGATCGATACTGCAGATAAGAAGGTCTCTAAGATCCCTCCGCCCCTTCCAGCCAATGTGCTCTTTGCTCTCGGGGACTCTCCAATCATGGCCCTCCGCAGGAAGGCAGTCAAGGACAGCCTTGGGGAAAGGTTTGTATTGAACGTCATATTCAAGCAACAAAGCCTCTGTCTCGGCTCCCTTGGTTTCTAATTCTCCCAGCGACCGGATGAAGTGTCCGGTGGGGTACCGTGAATCGCGATCCCAAGCGTCAATAGTGACCAGGATACGTTGGCCCATGAGATCAGCGGCTTGTCTAGTGCGTAACCTGATCTTGGGCACACGTTTATCCATGGGCAGAACAAAGACATTTTGCTGTCGTCGACTCGAGCTGGTCTGGGAGCCTGCCGAGCCTGAATCGACATGGCCGACGTATTGGCGCCAATTCCGCTTCATCACACCAACGACCTTGGCTGTTGGCTGTGGCCTGCCCTCGGAGTTCTTTCCATGTGCTTTCTTGACTTCCTCCTGCAGGGCCTTGCGTTCTCTCTCCGTGACAACCGCCTCGTTGTCTTCGGCATCCGGGTTGTCATTCTTGGTCACAGCCTCTTCGTCGACAAGCTTGGTTGAAGGAGTCTTCCATTGGTCCTTTGGCAATACTTCAATCACAACAACGTCTCCAGAGATTGCTCGGTTGCTGTTGTCGCGACCCAGGATTAACAGAGGCTTGTCAAACGCCGGAACGTTAACAGAGCCCTCCAAGTAGTTGTATGGCGACACGTTGAAGACGCCCTGGTGCAATGTTCCAGCCCTCAAACCCGTCTGAAGCTTTGACATGGTGTAATACTCGGGGTAGAAGAGTTCTCCGCGTGCGCCCTTTGCTTCTCTCGCTTCTCTCGACTCGTTGATCATGTCCAGTAACCTGTCGGAATCTTCCAGACCCGAAACGTAATCCGTCAACGACAACGCCGTAATGTTTTCGTCCTTCGACTTCCGGAGGTTCTCTTTATCGTCCGTGATAACGACAATGGCCGGGATCGACCGCTCTTTCTTGCCCTTCTTGGCCGTAGACTGCAAATGCCCCATGTACCACTTAGCTACAGCTCTGACGGCTCGGTCGTTTCTGTCGTTGATCGACTCGTCGGGGCCACGCCGAACGTGGGTCTCCAGGCGGAACTCGTTAAAGAAGAGATAGAAGCGCTTCTCATCGGTCTTGATCAGCGCAAGCAAGCGGTTGTAGAGGGGAAGAGACTGGTTCCGCAGCTCCTCAAGAACGGTCTGCAGGATGATGACATCGTAGAAAGCTCCGGTGTGTTCGAAGAGGTCCATTCCATTCAACAAGGCATTCGTATCAGGGACGAGGTAGTGGCCGCGAGGGAAAGCTTTGGTGCCCGCAGGTTGTTCGGACAGGACGAACGGCGTAACTAAGAATCGCCGCATTAGCCACATCCATCATCGATGAGGTTTGTAGGACATCTTCCTCACTATTTCCATTCGCATCCGCTGGGGCGACCGACGGACACGCCACGCAAAGCTTCGACGAGCAAGGAATATCCTGTCTTAGATAAAGCTCGCGAACGATCTTTTGCACCTTCCCACTTTTCGTGGACCGGACGAAGATTTTGCTGGTGACATTTTGGGCCTGGGGGTTCGAGGAGAGATCCCTTCGTAAGCTCTTCATCTTGTCTGTGTCGCAGCTGCGGTCGTAGCAGCGCTGTGATCAAAGCGACAAAATGCTGAATGGTAGGCTGGTGGATGCTGTCGGCGAGATTCGCTCAGTTCTGATTTGAAGCGGGATGGCGATTATCGGCCCGAAACGGGAAAGTCTGCCGACGTAATTGCGGGCATCGCATCTACTGACTGATTCCGTGATAAGAAGCTATATCCCACCATCATCATCAACACTCTTGGTGCATATCATCATTTGGGTTTGTCTGCTGGGTGCTTGACTCTACATAAATTGAATAACATGGTTCTAGCAGTAGGTACTTGGCTTGACCTTCCTTCAAGCCCTCGATCGCATCAAATCACTGATATATATGCTTCGACGGTGTAGGCCGTGGGTCAACTATGCTCAACTGCGAGTCTGGCAGCCAACCTGGCGCAATGCCGAACGCTGGTCCGTAAAGCAGCTGCAGCTGGTGCCAAGGTAAGACCACTGGCCTGTAACATTTCTAGACAAGAATAGTTAACATAATTTATACCAGGCATTGTTTCTCCCCGAAGCCTCAGATTACATTGGTTCCTCGCCTGCTGAGACGATATCTCTTGCGCGCTCCGTGCAAGATAATGAATTTGTCCTTGGCCTGCAGAAAGAAGCTCAACTAGCCAAGCTACAAATCAATGTGGGAATCCATGAGCCTGCATCCAACGACAGAACGAAGAACACTCTTATCTGGATCGATGAGACAGGTGTTATCACACAGCGCTACCAAAAAGTTCATCTGTTCGATGTCGATATCAAAGGTGGACCTGTGCTGAAAGAAAGCGCGTGAGTTGACCCTACGTCTTGCAGCTAGATGAACTTCACTTACCGACCTTCATGAACAGGAGTGTCGAGAAAGGCATGGAAATACTACCGCCTTTTGAAACACCCATCGGGCGCGTGGGCTTATCAATCTGCTTCGACGTGAGTTATGTGTCGTTACTACTGAGCTATGTCCAGTCCGGCTAATGGGCGTGGCAGTTGCGCTTCCCCGAGCTCAGTCTGGCTCTGAGGCGTCAAGACGCCCAGATTATCGCCTACCCGTCGGCATTTACAGTTCCCACCGGTAGAGCGCACTGGGAAACACTCCTGCGAGCTAGAGCCATCGAGACACAGTCATATGTGATAGCAGCTGCACAAGCCGGACCACACAACGAGAAGCGAATAAGCTATGGCCATTCGATGATTGTAAATCCATGGGGAGAGGTGGTAGCGAGACTCGGAGATGATTATGAGGAACCACAAATCGCTGTTGCTGACATCGACTTGGACCTCCTTGCAAAGGTTAGGAGGGAAATGCCCTTACTCAGACGCACAGACATATATCCTGAGGTGTAGCCAGCGGAAGTATTCCAACACGAATCACATGGCCTCGTACATTTCTCTCTCTCAGGATTCCCGATATTATGGCTGAAGTAAAGAAAGATACCGGAGAGGGAGGTTCATTGAAAGTATCCTAAAGTGATTTGCATGAGGTAGATTTCATCAGAAAGCCTTGGTTTATTTTCTCTTCCGCTCCCGAATTCATAAAGCAAGCCAATGAAAGGATATAAGGTGACAAGATACACGCAGGTAACAAGAAAGGAAAGAAAAGCCAGCAGTGAAATGGAAAGCCCTGTCTAGGATCGGACCGGTATGTGCCTGATGACACGTGTAACCCACTCAATCAATCATCATCTTTCATGCCCGGCCAATCTATGTACAAAGTACAAGGGAGAATTGTGACTTGTGCGCTTTACTTGCGCTGGGCCTTATCAGGGTCCTCCAAGATGCCCTCAGCCTCCAGCCGCCGGCGAGCCTCTTCAAGAGCCCATGTTTGTATCCTAAAAAGCCTGTTAGTAAAGAACGAGCACAGTATTTCCGCCTGGGATGACGACGAGCTCCGTGTGACGCAAAGGCCAGCCGAGGAGCCTGGGGGGTAACGAGGGCCGAACTTACGAAGTGTCGGGCTTGAAAACATATGCGACACCGGTGACGAGCAGACTGCCGATGAATCCGTAGTACCAAATGTTCTCCCAGCCCTCCTTCTGGTATTTCTGGCCGGGCTTCAAGCCGAAGAGGTATCCGGTCGGGGGATCATAGTGGTCACCGTGGTCGGCGGCACGGAGGTTGCTTCGGGTCGAGAAGCTCTGGACATTCTGAGCCCGGAGGGGAGCGCAGCGGGCGCGAAGGCAGGATGACAATGGGCGAGCAGACATTGTGAATATGGTCGTTATCTGTTGAGGTTTGGAGAAACCTCGTGCTGAGCAATAAGAAACAGGCGGTGGCGGGTGAGGATCCCTGTCTGAGGCGACGAAGCAAGGGTTGATGGTACGGAGCACCGAGTTCAAAACGATCCGGTCGACCAGCGATGGCGATAGTCGAGTCAATTGAGGGATTTCGGAATCGACTTCTTTCGTCGGAGCGGGCAGGAGGAGCTAGGTGGAGGGGTGACGAGACGGTCGAGCGGTTGATGTTCAGAAGCCGCAAAAGGCCGATGACTTGCTGGAGTCTCAGCCGCTAGTCCCATTTGAGCAAATTTCCTGGACCGCCTTTCGGCCTGAAAATGCAGGCAATACATTCCACACACCTGAGGCAGGAACACTCGACGCGCGACGCGTTCGGGCCTAATTAGATTGGCTTATCGCATCGTGCGTGCTACCAAAGTGCCATTACATGCGATTACCAAGTTATGTTGAAACTCCATCCACTGTCACGGTCCTCGGCCCCCGCCATTCCTTTCAGCAAGATCTCATCAATTGCCTATCGGATGTAGGTGCAATTCACGGTCTGATTTCTGCGCTACCGTCGCCGTCAGTCGCTTCGTACGCGTTGCTGTGAAAGTATCATTCGAATTTCTGTGACCGATATATCTGGTTGGCCTCAACCCCACGATCAACACCAACCATGAACAACATGAACAGAGCTTCGGGAGCATATAAAATATCCTCCCAATCTCGCTCCAAGTTGAACGCATTCCGATACAGCAAAGACGAACGAAATCCAGAGAAGACCCCTCAAAAGGCCGCGACAACTGGTCATGCGGACAAGGAGAATCAAACGTCGTGGTTGAATGGCGTGGTAGAAAAGAAACAGGCAGAATCAGATACGAACCCACCTACGATCGAGACAACCGAACAAAAGCCTCTCAAAGAATGCCCCCAGACACCAGGAAACCGGATTCCCCTAGCAGACCTGATTAGCAATGCCGAGGATGCTTTCAATAGTGCCCCAGGGCAAGAGTTCACGCCCGAAGACTACGTCACTTGGCAACATGTCCCTGCGAGTTCCAACGCCGATCCAATGTCACAAACACCTGCAATGCACGGCAAGAAGCGTCGGCACAGCTCGTCGCCAACTAGTTCGCCTCTGGCAGCAACCTCGAAAGGCAAGCGAAAAGGATCGGCCGATTTACAAAATGACCAGTCCCTGATTAAAACTCCTCAGCATGATCTTGCCACCGAACTATGGAACAACTATGTGGGTAAGTCCCTTGCCAATGGCACCGGCGAACTTCCTCAACCACGATTTGCGCATCTGCTTTCATCTTCCCCACAAACACCCGCATCGGCCCGAACAGGACGAGGCAGTTCTGGGTTGAGACGGTCAAATAGCTGCAATGCTGAGTGGCCTACTTCAAAGGCGAAGCGGAGAAGAGTCGACGGCGAAAGGTTTGGTGGGGGTCGTGGCATCTTCTCCAGAACAAGGAGTAATGTCGTGGATTCGGGTAACAACCAAGCTTCCAATCTGAGCACTCTCGTCAAGCAGATGGAGAGGACCTTGCAAAAGGTACCTGAACGATCAGTTGCTCCAGACTCGTCACCAGTTCCAAAGCGCGGCAAAGCATCAAAGAGTCATTTGGCATCTCCGACAGGCGGCAGAAGTCCTTGCTGCTCTCCTAAGAAGGCTAGCGATGTGCTCGAGCCCCTTGAAGCTGAAATCATTCCCCAGGAGACAGAACTTGTCCAAGATCTGTCCTCCGATTATGGGGACGATGAGTTTGATGAGGACTTTCTCGAACTTGCAGAAGCATCAATAGATCCTTTCGTGGAAGCTACTAATCCACCACGCAACCTTGCAGAGAATAGCAATCCTGCAAAATTGACGGCACCACCGCCACATAAGGGAGCTCCATCGCTCCAAGAGACGACGGCCTCTAATGTTACCGGCACAGCGACATCAAAAGCGGAAATGACCATGAACAACAATAAAGACTTTGACCTTGACGATGATGAATTTGACGACGACGACTTTGATGATCTTTCTGATAATATAGAAGATCTCCTTGCCGAGTGTGATAAAACACCTAGCATGAAACTGGCAAGGCCCATACCCAAAGGGCCAAATGTGCCGGAACAGCCGCTGTCCGGCACTGAACCCCGGCGCTATGATTTTGCAGCAACAGTTGGATCAGCCAATGAGATGAAGAAAGACACTGACATCTCTTCTGGCGATGAGTTTGACGATGGTAGCTTAGACATGGATGCTATCGAACAGTCTATGAGACAATCAGGAGTAGATGGATCAAACCATGTTTGTCTCTCCTAGTGAATCAATGCACGTTATAGATATGCTAAGTATTTTCTCCATAGAATCTTAGAAGTCGACAAACTATCAAACGCTATCTGATCATTGACATTGCTGAGTCAGCGTATACAAGCCCCAGAGGACGCGTCCAACCAGAACAGGTCAGCCAATTACACGCCCGCATAGCCCCATTTATTGACACCGTAAACAGGTACTACTTGTACAAGATGAAAGATCCAGAGAAGACAAGAAAGTGGTCATCCTTCGGGAGTCATGGTCCGATAGCCCATGTACCAAGGAGTCATATATTCACCTGATCGGGGAATTTGATTCAACAGGCCATTGCATAGTTGACGATTCCAATAATATGGTGATACTTCATCCGGATCATCTAGTATCGGCAACTATTGTGGCCGATTCTATCACCTGCCAGCGTCGCGCTGTTCTCCAGGAACGCATCAAAAACACAACTGATGTCGGAAAAGCACAGGTCTTCGGCAATATATTCCACGAGCTTTTTCAAGAAGCACTGAAGGTCAACCGGTGGGATACGACTTCATTGAGGCTGTTGGTGGAGGACGTGATTGTCAAGCGCATTGAGGATCTATACCTGATTCGATTGACCGTTGCAGAAGCCATTGAATATGTGATGAGCAGGATTCCAGGCGTGCAGGATTGGGCAGAACGCTTCCTTCAGGCAAAGCCAAGCGTGAGTATAACTCTTCCCGACTTGAGGTCACAAGACTAACTCCTGAAACAAGGCCGACTCGGTCGTCGAGGATCGGCACAACTCCAAACTTCGCTTGAGTATAAATAAGCTCCTCGAAGTTGAGGAGCACATTTGGTCTCCCATGTACGGACTTAAAGGAAATATTGACGCCACGGTTCAAGTTGCCTGCACGGAGGAAAGCAAAGACAAGACGCTGCTTGTGCCTCTTGAGCTGAAAACGGGCAACAGAGACACAAACCAGGCGCATCGGGCCCAAACGGCGCTTTACACACTACTTCTCTCTGATCGTTATGGTAGGCTGATATACCCCAAGATTTTTCGGAGAACTGAGTTTCGGAACGACTGCTAACTGACCCTCTTTGCCCGTTAGACATTGATTGCACATTCGGTCTGTTATACTACCTCGAAACATCGAAGATCTTCCGTATTCGTGGCATTCGACATGAACTTCTTCAAATGGTTCAGCAACGGAACCGTGTGGTTGGGTACATGCGTCAGAGGACACACTTACCTCCAATGGTCAAGAAGGCCGCGTTTTGCAATAAATGCTACTCGAAGACAGCTTGTTTCATCTATCATAAGCTTGCTGATAATGGCGATGGAGAGACGAGTGGCCTTGGTGACGATTTTGTCAAAGCTACCCAGCACCTGAATTCACAGCACCAGGAATTTTTCAAGAAATGGGACGAACTATTGACAAAAGAGGAACAAAGCATGATAAGGTTCAAGCGCGAGCTCTGGACTCTGTTGAGCAGTGAGCGCGAAGCTCTGGGCCGCTGTTTTGGCAACGTCGTGATTGACCCTAATTCAACCTATGAGGAAACAGATGGTCCGAAGATCAATCGGTTTCGATACACTTTTCACAAGAAGCAGGCGCCTCCAGGGTTTTCATTTACCGAATCTCAGCTCAGCATTGGTGAGCCGATAGTGGTTTCCGATGAGAAAGGCCACTTTGCTCTCGCGAATGGCTATGTCGTCCAGGTCAGCGCGAAACGCATCACCGTCACAGTTGACAGAAAGCTACACAATACTCGAACGCGGATGAAAGGCTTCGACGTCACACATAATCAGTCCTTCAAGGGGATAATGGAGATACTTGACGAAGGCGTCTCTTCCCCACCGGTAGAATTGGAAGAAGAAGCTGTTTACCGTTTGGATAAGGACGAGTTTAGTAATGGCATGGCAATTGTCCGAACAAACCTTGTTTCCATGATGGAAAAGGACCTCTTCCAAGCCAAGCAATTGCGGAGATTGATCATTGAGGGTGAGGCGCCTACATTCAGACCCGTACTGTCTGGCCATACTCTTCCTGGCATCGACAAAGCCAACTTGAATATCGATCAGAAACAGGCGATTGACAAAGTCATGAGTGCTCAAGACTATGCCTTGGTACTTGGAATGCCAGGAACGGGGAAGACCACAACCATCGCCCACATCATTCGTGCACTAGTTGCGCAGGGAAAGAGCGTCCTTCTCACCTCTTACACCCATACAGCTGTTGACAACATCCTCCTGAAGATCCGGGACGACAACTTCCGCATTCTTCGAGTTGGCGCTACTACAAAGGTACATCCAGATGTTCAGCAATTTGCTGACCTCGCGGCTATCCCTAAGAAAACCATTGAAGAGCTCAAGGCGTCGTATGAAGAATCGCAGGTGGTGGCAACCACTTGCCTCGGGGTTAGCCACAGTGTTTTCAGCCAAAGGGTCTTTGATTACTGTATTGTGGATGAGGCATCCCAAATCACATTACCTGTTTGTCTAGGCCCAATCCGCATGGCAAGGACCTTTATTCTCGTCGGTGATCACTATCAGCTACCTCCGCTAGTGCAAAACAAAGAAGCCCAAGAAGGTGGTCTCGATGTCAGTCTTTTCAAACTGCTTTCCGACGCCCATCCGGAGTCTGTCGTCAACCTTGAGCATCAATATCGAATGTGCGAAGACATCATGCTTCTTTCCAACAATCTCATCTACTCAGGCCATCTCAAATGTGGGACACCAGAGGTTGCAGTACGCTCTCTAGAAATCCCCAACATCGATGGGATCAAACAGCATCACCCCAGTCAGTTCCCACAATCTCCAAATCAGAAACAGGTATGCTTGGGGACAAGTCAGGGCCGCTGCTGGCTGCGTGATCTCGTCGACCCCTCGGCCAAGACCCGCCTCGTCAACACAGATACACTTGCCACGCCTGCCGTGGATGAAACCAACGGCTCACGTATCGTCAACCCCACCGAAGCCATACTTTGCACCCAGCTGGTCGAGGCCTTCATCTCCTGCGGCATCCCAGCACGCAGCATCGGTGTCATCACATTCTACCGAAGCCAACTCTCAATTCTCAAGCTCAACCTCAGCCGCTACCTCCCCGATCTCGAGATGCACACCGCCGACAAATTCCAGGGCCGGGACAAAGAGATCGTGATCCTGAGCTGCGTCCGAAGCAACGCAGACAACCACGTTGGCGACCTCCTCCGCGACTGGCGCCGCGTCAACGTCGCCTTCACCCGCGCACGCACCAAGCTGCTCGTGGTCGGCAGCAAGAGCACCCTGCGCGACGGCAACGAGCTCCTCGGCAAGTACGTAAAGCTGGTCCAAGATCGCGGATGGGTTTACGATCTCCCGAAGAACGCCCTCGAGAACCACATCTTCGAATCCGACAGCACGGGCTTGACGCAACCCTCCTCGTTGCATGGCCGGGCAACGCCCAGCCCGAAGAAGAGGAGCTCGCCAACTTCCGCGGGCAAGAAGACGGGCCGCAAACCGTTGAGTCCGGTACAGACGCGACTCACTCCGCAAGGTTTGAGGAAACCGGCCAAGAAGGGGGCGAAATTGATGAGCGGGAATAAGGTACTTGGAAACCGACCGGTTCTGCAGGATGTGGTCAATGACCTTGTTGGATGATGACGAATTGTTTGTGTTCTGGTTTTCGTGATGAGTATTGGTTAAGAGATATCATTCGAGCGTTGCGGTCTGTTGGGATGGATTATGGATTTGGGTTTAGGTTTGTTGTATTGAGACCTACTGGAGTTATTGATTTATTTTTGGAATATCTTATCAGGAGATAGATAAACAGCTCGTGCCAGTTATATCCAGGATGTCTAAACTCTTCATATCTTTTAGTCTATTAACGAGACAATAAATCTTTCTTACCAGGATCTCACAGTCTGTAACAAGGGGTATATATTCAAGCGTACTTTTTGTTCCCCGAGGAAACAAAGGTTATCCATATCCCTACTGTAGAACGGAAGCGCCCACAAACTCCCAACTAACGAAGTGCCGCCCCATCCTCCTAGCAGCGACGATCTCCTCCTTGCCAACCTTCTCCTCCTCCTCTGCCCCCGCAGGTGCAGGTAACGCCGGTAGCACCAAAAGCGTGTATCCGTCCCGCGCCTCCACAGCCTCCCTCCCCAATGCCTGGGCCGAGATCGCAAACCAAGCGGACGATACAGCAGAGCTACTAGCAGCCGTCTCCCGCCTATTGAAACCAACACATAACATCCTTTCGGTTAGCGACTATGAAACAACCTACACCTTAGAGAATGAGAGAAACGGGGAGGATACGCACAGTAAGTCCACAAGCAACCCCACAACCCACTTCGAAGGAATCAGACCCCGCCACCGCAGGGTGACCAGATCGGTAGCCTTGGCCTCGTCCGCGTCCGGGACACAGTAGCGCGACAGGTACGGATCCACGTCGTCGGCGGCGGAGACGCGCGGCGAGGCCAGCGACACCATGGCTAGCCACTCGGCGATCTCGGTGCATTGGTTCTGCAGCGCTTCTGGGCTACTACTACTGCCGGCGGTAGAAGGCGGATCGGTGAGTTTGAGAGTGTCGAGCGGGGGCACGAGGATGTTGGGGTGTTCGGTGAGGACGGGCTCGCAGGGGATGATTTGCGGGTGGTTGCCTTTTAGGGAGAGGTCATCTGTTTTAGCTGGTGGTTAGTACCTATTTAGACTGGCGATCGAGTAGGTAGGTAGAGATAGGGTGGGAGTTACCGTCGGCGATGCCGTTGGTAGTGGATGAGAGGTCGAAGAAGAGCCAGGCGACGGATTGAGTGAGGACGTTCTGGAAGGCATATTCTATCCGCTTGAAGCCCTTTTTGCCGTGGAGCATGGATGGGAGGCGGAGGTTGAGTTCGATGACTGGGTTGAGGGAGTTAGCTTCTCAAGAGAAGGGTTAGAAAGGTGGTGTAGCATACCATATCGCTCTTTCGCGTGTTTTCTGCCTCCGCTGCGGACGGGCTTGCCGGTTAGACCGGTTCGCTCGAAGATCTCTCTGCTGAGCTCGAGTTTGAGGATACCTGGGGATTTGATTAGTGGAGCTCGTTCACATGGTGAGGTTCACGGGTGGCAGCGTACCGTCCCGGAGAGTGAAGACGCTGTCGGAGCCTGATCGGCCCTCTGATATCATGAGGATGTTTCCTACAGGAAGTCAGTACCTCATGGCCACAGCCGGACACGATTGAATGAGGTCACCTGTCTTGATATAGGTGTTGAAGAAGTCGGGCTCAAGTAGAGACGACAGGGACATGAACACCCTCGCATAGCGGAGTTTCTGTAGCCTGCTGTCCAGCGATGCTTGGATGGTCGTGTGGGCTTCTTTAGGTAATGTGACTTCCACCTGGGAGATTGTTAGACAGTGATCTCTATTGTGAAAGCCGAAATACATGACAATATTACCGTATGGATGAATGGATGGCCCAGAACGGCGGCGAAGGGAGCCTTCTTCGTCGGTGGTTGCTTAGGATCGATGTATGGAGGCAGCTGTCCTAGACAGGTGAAGCACTTTTCGCGCCTCGAGGCGTCATCGTTGAATTCTAGCATGTTGCAAGACAGTATCAAGAGAATTGCGAGTGCTATCAGTTGTTCCAGCTGCAGGATGTCTGGTTTATGTTTGTTACACCACTTTGAAAAAAAGTTCGGACGCGATCCAGACCCGAGATTTTATCGTCTCAGCTTCACTGGCCGGGCAGACTCCAAGTAAGGACTCAACAGTCTGCTCACAACGAAGGCGATTGTATGATATCGTATGGTGACTTCTCAATACTGGTAGAGAACTATATCTGATTGATAGAGAAAAGGAATTCAGCGAGCTTTCAGGTCACCTGACCCGTTCCGCCATTGACGATGGCTTACTTGGAATCGACTCTACAGAAATAAGGTAAGGAAAGGGCAGGTAATATCAGAGATATAAACTCTGGCATTCTTTCTCGTTAACTTCACAATTGTATTTCCCTGCCAATGGCCATAAAAGATACAATTCGAGGCCTTGTCGCCTGCAGCTCCGAAGTACAGAGCTCTGACCAATCACCGAGTTGCGGTCATTGTAAGGAACTCCGCGTTGCGGCACTCAAGAACTCAGGAACTCACTCTCACTCAATTACTTAAGAGCTCCACGTCTTCTTCGTTCATCATTGTCCAACCTCAATCGCCCCCACAACTCTTCGCCTGATTGCTTCCCTCCTCCGTGTAAGAGATACCACCTCAAGCCACCAATCGCCGCCCTCCGGGGCCTCAGACGACCACTGCAGATTAGCTGCCCGCCGCAAGCGCAGATCTGCCAGTGCCCGCACCGCAGCAACACCACCGCAGCAGCAGCAGCACCGGGTTGCGCAATGGCACCCCCACCTCTTCGTCGCAACCTGCTCCCCAAAGACCGCTTCGCCTTCAACTTCGGGAGTCTGAAGACGCAAAATTACCATGATCCCGTCGCGCGGGGGCCAGGATCTCATACGTGCGTGACCGCTCGCCCCGAAGAAGCTGAGATGAGCAAGAGAAAGCAATGCTCAAGATTGAAACCCTACTGATCTCGGACGATGATGATACGAACGACAGAATCCGGACCATCGCCTGGAACCCGACGGGCCAGCTCGTCGCCACCGGATCCGCCGACCGCACGCTTCGAATCTGGAACCCCGAACGCTCGCAAGTCAAATACTCGACCGAACTGCGCGGCCACACGGCCGGCATCGAGAAGGTCGTGTTTAACCCCACGCGCGACTCGGAGCTGGCCAGCTGCTCGACGGACGGCACGGTGCGGTTCTGGGATGTGCGGTCCAAGACGTGTGTGAGTCGGTTGGATGTGGGCACGGAGGCGTTCACGTTGTCGTGGTCGGCGGATGGGAGCACGATGATCGTGGGCAGGAAGGTGAGTCAATAGCTTCGTGGTTGCAGCAGCGGCGCACTACCAACCACAACCGCAAGTTCTCACTAAATGACACCACCAGGACGACACTCTCATCCCGATCTCAATCGAATCCCTCTCAACGCCGACCATCCTCAGCGACACGCCCGCCTCAACCACGACCTCCAAACCCGCACACACCTCAACAAGCACCTACCGAACCCTCGAGCCGCACCCCCAACCGGTCCAAACAAACGCAACGACCTTCTCGCACCACATCGCCAACCCAACAGCACCAGAGCTTCACCTCTTCGCAACAACAGGCGAAGGCACAGTCAAGATCCTCTCGTACCCGAGTTTCGAGCCGCTGCACACGCTGCACGCGCACACGTCGGCGTGCCTGTCGATCGCGCTGGCGCCGACGGGCCGGTACCTGGCTGTCGGGGGCAGCGACGCGCTGATCTCGCTGTGGGACACGACGGACTGGATCTGCCGGCGCACGGTGTCCAGTAGCAATGGCGGCGCCGTGCGCGGCGTGAGCTGGAGCTTCGACGGCCGCTACCTCGTCGGCGCCTGCGACGAGGTCGGCTGCGGCGGCAACGGCCTCGAGGTCTTCCACGCTGAGACCGGCGAGAGTGTCTACACCGTCCCCGTCGCCGGCGGCGTCAACTCCGGTATCCCTGCCGTCGCGTGGCATCCCTCGCGCTACTGGTTGGCGTATTCGACCACCGCGGATGGGGGTGGGCATGGTGGTTTGAAGATCGTCGGTGCTGCTGGGGGGAATCTGTAGAAGTCGGAAACAACAAAGGGTGTGGTTGGGGTTTTGGATGGGTTGTTCGGTTGTTGTTGTCTACTTCCTACGGTCTAGTGCCTTTCGCTGGCGTATTTGGGCGTTGAGGGCAGTCAACGTACTACCTTGGTTATGTATAGCTCTGGATTATATTTTTACCTTGCATTCTTTAGCTACTAGATATGGGACTTGAATTCTGTTAACAGAGATTCAGCTGGTAGTATGAAGGATGTAGACGCATTGGTTAAACTGTATTGATATCGATGATCATGAGGTATGGTATATCCACTTGCTAATTCAGTATCCTCCCCTCCAACATCAATGTACAATTCGTGAGTCTCGTGATATCCCGCTCAGCGGCTTTATGGTGAACATCATTCCGTGCAGTTTGCATTTACATGTGCGGTTGCTCTCAAGGCAGTATATTGGGATCTGGGTACGCGTCCCAGTTGCTCGTGGTCAGAAGCTGCGCCCACTGGGCCTCACTGAGACCGTCTAAGCCCCCGGACATACTGTTGTCCAATGTGACTCCATCAAGACCGGAGAAAGCGAGGGCATTCATATCCCAGCGCGGGACCCCGGCGAAGACGTCGGGATACCCGGCGCTAGCCTCTAGTGGAATGACCGGATTGGTAAACATGAGGTTAGCATTCGGGTTGTTGCAGGCTGCCGCTGCGGCCGGATTAAGGGATCCGGTTGGCGTGGGGATGAAGTTATTGGCGAGCGGCGGCTGCTGGGGCGTGTACGAGGTGGCGGAGGAAGAGTGGACGTCGGGGGAGAGCGAGTCAGTGCGCAGATCTACACTGCTACTGCCGCTGTAGTCTACCATCACTGGGAGGCTGGTGTCTTGGTCTGGAGTGGATAACCCGTCCTTGGCGGGGGGCTGCGTGCGATGTCTTTTGCGTCGATGGGGAGCTGCGTCGCTCATCGAGGGGTTAAACTGGCGTACTTCAAGGCGGATCTGCTGCGCGACGGACGGTGAACCGGAGCTAGAGCCGCAGCTTCCTGGGAATGTATCGAAGGATTCTGAATCGGGTTGTACCCGAGATTGGCTGATATTTAATAAAGATGAGTCGCTAGAGTAGCGCCTCTCAGCAAAGGCCTGGAGAGAGTGATTGATTAGTATTTCTGCGGATCTCTACAGAAGGGATGGCTCGTACCGCATCTCGCTGCAGGCCTGCTCTCATGAAGCAAGCCTTCTTCGACTGATTAAAGTCTGACCATACGGTACCTGCGGTATCGAGATCTAGCTGGAAAATGAACGATTCCGCAAGGGGGTTCTTGGTCTTCAGCAAATGGAGTGCCGAAAAGACGAACTGTAGAGATGAACGGGCTGCCGAATCGTCCGGCCGGAATTTCAAGTATTGTACAAAGACACGCGCAGCGACATAGACACAAAATGGTGTGAGCACACTCATCTAAGAATCATTAGCACATGGCGAGTCAGGTCGAATTCTGACGTAATTCTCACCTTGCTCGGGTCGACGTGGCTGCTCAGTCTCAAAATGTTCGAGATTTGCTCCGCGGCCAGAATGCATCTTCTCTTGCTTTCCGTGGCAATCGGCCCTGGCATCTTGTTCTTCTCCGCCTTGTAGATAGCCGCCTGGTGCAGACAGATAGTGGCTGTGTGGATGGCCATGCTGCAAAAGATGACGTTGGGGTCAGTGGTCCCAACGGACAATCGCAGATGGGAAGGCATGGTAAGAGAAAAATGCAGCAGTATATTGTCATGGGACCTGTGACGCTGCCAGTATACTCCATTGAGGTCGTGGTCGTCTTCGTGCGGATTAGGCCGATGTAGGTGAGCAAGATTCTTGCCAAATATGCTGGCCATGAACGACACACCCCCGAAAGCAGACAACGTAGACATGCCCTCTCCCAAGTACGCAGCTTCGAGAGAAATTGTCTCTTCAGGCTGGTTCTTGATGAAGGACTCTTCAGAAGCCGGTAATTTGGTCAAGACCTGTTGGGTCAAGTCAGTTAGGCATCTTCTTCCGGCGTGTGCGTCAATCGCAACTCACATCTTTGTCGTCGAACACAACGGGCCATCCAGTGCCGATGCTGGCAAACCGGTCGGCACAATAGGCCATCCAGAAAACCCGCCGTCGCTCTTCCTTCTCACTCCAGTCCTTGGCGGCTGTCAGAGTCTGCTTCACGTCGATACCTTCTCCATCAACCCGATTCAATCCCATCATGATAGCGAGCCTTGCGGCTTTTCCGGAACTCAACCAAGCTCGAGGGAAGAACATCATCTTGAACTCGTAGGAACAGATGAGTACCCAAGCCTGGCAGTGACCTAGGGACACTGCATGCTCGCCCAGCCCTCTCAGTTCGTCCGCTTCTGCGTACTTGCGAGCTCGCTCATAGAAGACGGAATGCAAGCTAGAGTATTTATCGCTGATGGAGGCCGCGTGACTCCACATTATATACTGCAAGCACAGGGGAGGTCGTGTGCTAGGTCCGAGGCTCATGGCCGCCAGTAGTCTGGGACGATGTAGTATAGGCATGCCGGGATGGATTTTCTTGAAGTATATTTCGTTCCTGTTAAGCGTGAGAGCCTGGACAGAGGAGCGAAAGAGACCACACTGAGTACATACAGCTCATCAATAATTCCTTGACTGGGAAGAGGTTCCTCTAAACCAAGACTGATCATTTCCATGCCGTAGTTCGGTGTGTTGGTCGTGCCTGCGTGCTGGAACACCTGAGCGGAGAACGGGTCCGGAACACGATCATGGCGTTGTTGGAATGCGCTCGATTCATTGATTATGGCAAGAATATCGGGAATATCGGTTGAGGGGTTTGCGACGGACCCGGTGAAACTGCTCCCTTGGTCTGGGGTTGGATTTGTTTTCTGATTCTTGAGTAGGTTCTCGACCTGCGCTGCACGGAAAGCGTAATGTCAGTATGGGAGGACAACTCCGAATGTTTCAACAAACAAGCCTGGCAGACGCCGTAAGCTTTGTCCCCCGAATGCAACATACCCAATCGCGCTTCCAACTGTTTCACATAACCTCGTTTGGGCCCGCTTTTCTTGCGCACTTCGTCGAAAACGCATTCATGGCCGAGTCGGGAGCAAGTGCCGCAGCTCGGCCTCTTTCCGTCGCATCTCAGCTTTCGCCTCCGACAGAGGACGCAGGCGATGCGCTTCGGACGAGGCACATAGTGGCTGTCCGCATCGCTGTGTCCGGTCTCTTGGGTAATGTTGATCTGCAGGTCCTGTGATGACGAAGGGTGATTGTCGGCGAGATGTGGGGGGCGGTTCAAATCTGTCATGGCCGGGGGGAAGGGTGTGCAAGAAACAAGCAAGGAAAAGGAATGACGCGCAGAGAGAGCAAGGGAAACACAGCGGAACCGATCGGAGTGGATAAGGCTCTCTCAGTCGCAAGAACAACTGGAGAATGTAGTAAAGTTGGTACGGTTTAGACTTAATGAAGGTTAAACTTACCAGTCAGTCAGTCGCCTGAAACTATCGCTAAGTCAGCAGGAGGCTTCTAGGCGCATCGTCGATTCGAAGTCGTTCCTGGTTAGTACCTTTGGCCACCACCGGAATCTGGACGACTAGGATTCAATAATTCTTCTTGGTTCAATCCCAAAAGAATTCCTTGGTAGAAATGCGATGACAATGATCTTTGGAGAATTACGAACGATTGTGCTCATGGCAGATTCATGAATATGGCCATTGATTGTTCATCACCCTCGGCTCCCGGGGACAATATCGGGGACCTTTTAAGATGGCAGGGACCACGCCCGCTCTTCCTTCGGTCTGCAATTCCCCGTTTCATTGAGCAACATGATGCAAATTCTACATTGAGGCGATTTAGACCCTTGGATTTCCAATATAACTGTCAAATAATCGAATTCTCAACGATGTAGTAGTATACAGGAGACAACGCCAGAGTATATGAAGGTGGACATTTCCATGAGACCCCGGACGAGAAACAGTGTAACAAGAGTAGATATCTGAGACCCTCGGGGAAAAGTCGTGTCGGGGACGAAATAAAGTACATACAATCGAATGCATTCAGAAGCAGTCTTGGGCAAGTGATTCAGAGCGGCGTGACTGTACCCACCCCGGCACCTTTCCCACCGAGTAGGGAATATAGTCACACTTCGAACGTAATGATTGGTGCGTGTGAATAAAGCGAGAAAAAGGGACCAAATGTACATAAGAAGACGTCTAGCTGTAGCCACGGCGGCGCTTGCCCTGGTTGCGAACTCGGGGAACAACAACGGCCTTGTTGACCTTCCACTTGGGACGAGTCTTGTAGCCGGATTTCGCCTGGGTAAGAAGAGCGTTAGCTGACTGAACGATCTGAAAAGTCCTATGTGAACTGCTTCAGAGATACATACCGGCAAACCCCAAGGACTCTTAGGATCCACGTTACCCTTGGACTTACCACGTCCACCACCGTGAGGGTGCTCGGCAGCGTTCATGGCAAGACCACGGACAGTAGGTCGAATGTTCAACCAGCGAGATCGACCGGCCTTTCCGAGCTGGGCGTACTGGTAATTGGGGTTGCTGGCAACACCGACAGTAGCACAGCAATCCTTGTGGATCAGTCGAACCTCCCCACTCTGTAGTCGAATAGTGATATGGGTAGCGATCCGCTCGCGCTTCTGTTGCTCGCGTTGACTCTGGCGGCGCTTCGTCTTGCCTGTTTCAGCCTCCTCTTTCCTCAGGTTTTCCTCATACCGGGCCTGTTCGTCACTGCCCTTGGCGATCACCGTGGCAAAGGTACCAGCGCTACGACACAGCTGGCCGCCCTGGCCGGGACGCAGGCCGACATTGAAGATCAATGTACCGATGGGAATCATGTGCAAGGGCAGACAGTTTCCTCTCCACGCGGTTCTAGCGGCCAACACACCAGGATCCACAACGCCTCCCATGCTCTTCCACAGGTCCTCCGGGATTCCGGCCATGTAGCTCTGAACCACATCGCCAGCTCTCATTCCATCGGCAGCAATAATGTAACTGAGCTTCTGGGTCTCCTTACTACGGAGGAGAGCAATGTGAGCCGTCCGGCCCGGGTCGTGTTCGATGCGCTCCACCTCATGAGGACCTGGGTCGGCGCGAGCGAAGTCGATCACGCGGATACGGCGCTTATGACCACCACCACGATGTCTGACTGTGACTTGACCGGTGTTGTTACGACCACCTTTGGCTTGACCGCGTTTGGGGAAAGTCAACTTATGCACGGGGCGTCCTTTCCAGAGGTGATCATTGACCGGCCTTCGCAAATGTCTGATACCGGGTGTGCGGGGTGTATACGAGCGCAGTTTGACACCGGAATCATCGCGAGTGGGCGGAGGAGCAAAGGAGATGCTGGGGTCGAAAGCTGTAGAATCTTCAGAGGAGGGGGTTTCGGTTTCGCGGACGGTGGAGTATGCCCGGGATGAGATTGTGGAGGATAGGAATCTGAAGGGCAGGCGCAAGCCCGTCAAGGCCACGCGAGGCTGTAGCATATTGATTAAGAAAGGCCGAATGGTCAATGAATCGTAATCGGAGGTCAGGCTAATGCCGCAAATGCTATCTTGAGGATAGCGGAAGGTCCAGGTGCCAGGTTAGTGACCAAGCATGCTCGTTCACACAAAGGATAAAAAAGACGCAAGCCAAACAAGTTGGAGATGAAGATCCGGTTGACCGACACCACCGAGACAACACCCTGCTCAATTGCAAGTGTTGTGAGAACCCGGAGACGAATGCAGCACAGCACTTTCTTGTCCACCCACTGTCCGGAGCAAAAATGTCGAACATGGTTTGGACGTGTGGCTGGAACATGTGTCACCTGATGCTACTCACACCGCCACAACAACGGGAGTGACTCAGCGTGGCACAGCAGTAGGCCCCTCCGTCCTTCCCAACGTCACGGGACGAGCGCGACACGAAAGTTGAATTGAGTTCAGCGGTTGCCGTAGCGATGGCGGGATGTTTTGACGGTCGTGGCCGCGCCGCTTCACGTTGTGGTCGCGACGGGCGTCTTGAGGCCAGCCAATTCAGGTGTCTTCCTGCCTGGAAATGGCTCAGGCATCAACAACCATGGATGGATGAACGATCAAGTGATGATATGATGGATGACGCTCTTCTTCCTTCTCTCCATCACAGCAAGATATGCGCTCCCTCCATGACCGTATCAGTACCATTTAGTACTGCTTCTCTTTCCACCACTTCCATCACTTCCTCACACCTTACCGCACCTTTCGCACTGACCTTTTTTGCAGAGCAGTCCATCATCCATTTGACACTTACATAGTACATACATATATCGATCTTTACCCACACCTTCACTAGTTAGTTACAAGGTGGTTTTTAGGCCGCCCTTCTTTCCGTCCTCCCCTTCTCGATCTTCTTTACCCCCCCCCTTTCTGGTTTGCTGTACCGTCCAGGCTCTCTCTTTCCTTTCTCTTCCTCCTAAAACCTGGTCCTTCTTCACTTTCTTCTCCACTCCTACCAACTTAACTTACTTACTCCCCTCCTCTTCCTCCTCCTCCTCGTCCTCCTCCCATCGGTACATAAACATAAACATAAATATCAACATTCATCCATCCCATCCCATCCCATCCCATCCCATCCCATCCATTCATCCACTTGCAGACTCTACCACTACTTACCTCTTCAACTTTGCATTCACATTACATACGTTGTACAGCCAAGGGAATCATCTGCAGTTGTACGCGATCCAACTGGGTTGTGCTGTGTGGGGCAACCTTTTCCCATCTTGGCCGGCCTTTTCCACGCTAAGAGTAGGGCCAAACATAGCCTTTGCCCTGTCACTTCTACCACCTTTTCCCTACACCTCTCTATCAACATCATCTCCTCGAAGGGAGGCCCGACACCACCCATTGAAGTCGCCAAATCTCCTCTTTTTCTCGCGTCATTGTCGACCAGCAATCCGTCGACCCCGTTTTCTCCCCGCCTTACCGACCGTGGGACCTGTAATCAGCGCGAAAATAACGTGACCCGGCTCATCTCTGATCTGGTCAATAACGTCAACAAGATCTTATATGCGACTCTCTGAAGCTTGCATATCCCCGTTTCCTCTCAGATACCTAGCTTGCTAGCTTGCAGAGTCTTGCATAGAGCCTAATCTATCGGGGTTGGGCGAATAATCACGCGTGGTACGTACAATTCCGTCTCCCAGTCTTCCAGGTATTCGAGCTCCACCGGGGTAATCCCCTCTGGAATGCTGACTGGACACCAGCTAACGGGGAGATCACAGTTGCTATACACACTTCTTCACACTTCCTTCATTTGTGCTCTTCTGTTTAGTCTTCCTTTTCGTCCTTCTCCCTTCTCACAATAATGCCTCCGGTAAGGATCCACTGGCCTCGTGACGCGTCTGTTGTGTCTGCTGTTTATTGATCGTGGGAAACTGCACCCTGGCGTTGTGCCTCGCGTGCACGAAAACTCTCTTGCTAATCTCCTCACAGGCTAGAAGTCTCCGCACGAGAGGTGCCATGAACGAGAACGATGAGAATGGGCCGTCGACGCGCCTGACACGGGCCAAGGCTGCTGCCCTATCATCGGGGGACGCCCACACCACTGCCGCTGCAACCAAGAAACCCACTCTACAAACCAAGAAAGCCGCTACAGCCCCGACTACCGGAACTACGAGAAGGCGCGCGGCCCTTGGCGACGTCAGCAACGTCGGCAAAACCGAGAATGGTGAAACCAAGGAGGCGAAGAAACCGGCTGCGACCAAGGCCCCCCTGGCACCCAAGAACAACCTGCCCTCCGGCGGCGTTCAGAAACCAACTAAAACGAACCCGGCACGCACCAACCCTGGTGTCAAGAGCGACACCGCGAAGAAGCAACCTGCGGAACCGAAGCGTCCTGGAAGCGGATCGGGTGTTGGTGGAAATCAGCCAAGACGGACCACGACCCGCAACTTGCAACAGAAAGAGGTCCTGCCCGAGGAACCGCCCCTAAAGAAGGCCCATGTCGAGAAGAAGGAGAAAAAGCCTGTGACGGAAAAGGTTCTGGATGAGAACGCTCAGGCTCCTATTGATCCCAAGGTTCTGGAAAAGCCCACCGAGGATCTCGTGGATGATCTCGACGCCGAAGACCTCGACGACCCTTTGATGGCCGCCGAATATGTTGTTGAGATTTTCGACTATCTTGCAGTGCTGGAGGAGGAGACCTTGCCGAATCCCGATTACATTGACCACCAACCCGACTTGGAATGGAAAATGCGTGGTATTCTGGTCGACTGGCTCATCGAAGTGCACACTCGTTTCCGCCTTCTTCCCGAAACTCTCTTCCTTGCCGTCAACATCATCGACCGTTTCTTGTCGGAGGAGGTGGTGGCCCTGGACCGTCTTCAGTTGGTGGGTGTCGCTGCTATGTTCATCGCGTCCAAGTATGAAGAAGTTCTTTCGCCCCACGTCGCAAACTTCAGCCACATCGCCGACGAGACCTTCTCCGATAAGGAGATTTTGGATGCTGAACGTCACATCCTTGCCACTCTCGAATACAACATGAGCTATCCCAACCCGATGAACTTCCTGCGCCGCATCTCCAAGGCGGACAACTACGACATTCAAACTCGTACTCTTGGAAAGTACCTCATGGAAATTAGCCTTTTGGATCACCGATTTATGGAGTACCGCCAGAGTCATGTTGCAGCTGCAGCAATGTACCTGGCTCGCCTTATCCTTGCGCGGGGACCCTGGGTAAGTCATGAAACGCTTCTTGGTCTATCTACCCTTGGAACTAACACTTCTCCAGGACGCCACCTTGGCTCATTATGCTGGATACACGGAAGAAGAGATCGACCCTGTCTTCCGGCTGATGATCGATTACCTTCACAGGCCCGTGTCCCACGACGCGTTCTTCAAGAAGTATGCTAGCAAGAAGTTCCTGAAGGGTAAGCTACATGTCCCTGCTCAACGACATTGAAGATGTCTGACTGACACCTCTCCCAGCATCCATCCTTACCCGACAATGGGCGAAGAAGTACCACCATCTCTACATCACTAGCTCTCTGTCAGAACCCTACCACTTCATCAAAGACAAGGAGTAAACACCACGTGTCCTCGTGACGATTCTACGCCGGCGTGCGGCAAAACGACCCAGAATAGGAGTTGGTTGATCCATATGATGGTATTTTATTTCTGATGGTATAAGGGTACCTCTTGCATATGTTTACGACGGCATTTTCCTGTTTTCGCTTGCGGATGTTTGCATTGTTCGCTTCAAGGGTGTCTGGCGCTTCTCTCATCTGCCTTGTGTTTGAGTTGTTCTTCTGTTACATCGGCTTGATTTCTTGGTCGTGTCTGGGTTGTACTTGCTCTGATACCTAACTTAAATATTCTCCCTCTTGACCCTGCGTACTAGAGGCATCGGGCACACCAAGGTCGGAAATTCTACTTCCAGTTTTATTTCAGCTTTCTATCGAAGTTTTGGTTTCTGTTTTTGTTTACAGCGTGTGTCAAATTCTCTTGTCTTGCATCTTTTTCCACAGAGTGTGCTAGACACTTGTTACTGTGGATGTCTCTATGATCAAGGCTTGGGAGGATACATAATCGCACCATGATGACCATAAATGCACATGTGCTGGACAAATATTCGAAGGTGAGCACCGAGACTTTCAATGATAGTGTAATGACAAGAGTGGACGGGTCCGGGTGAGGTATAAGGATAAGGGGAATGATCGGAGATTGTTTACCGCGGAAAGAAGATGAAACCTGGAGCTCTGTGAAATACTCTGATATGCGATATGTGTGAGTTTGCTATGATGAATGTTGGTGTAATTTGAAGACGAATGCGCCGAAGAACGGTGTAGTTAGTTGAACTGCAGCCAGCGGCTTGCCGTTTGTAGAACCGAGGCTCCTGGGTTGAACCGCTAACTGCCACCAACCACCACGGCTATTGTTCTGACCCCCATTCTTCAGCGACCGCAATCAAACCAACGAACTCCTTCATAGCAGTCGCAGTGATTGAACAATCTAGAATCTGCTTCCATACATGGCGGCGCCGAAAAGCAAACGGTTAAGCTTTCTTTGCACATTTAATTTGCGCCACACGAAGTATATATTGTTTCCCACTCCAACCTCTCCGATTGCAATCAACTTCACAGAGCCGGACCAGATAGAGATAAACCAAGCAGCTTAGTACACAGACGCCCATCACGCCCAGCACAATACAATGACATCCCACGAACCATCACCCCAATGTCCCTTCTGCAACATCGCAAACACATACCCCCCGCTGACCCCAACAACGTTCCTCCGCCAACAAGACCCGAAGAATGTCTCGAACAACCCAGCAACGAGCACGAGCACGAGCACGACAATGATAACGACCCCACCGATCTCACCCACAGCAACGACGGCCCACCTGATCCTCTCGACCACCTCCCTCCTCGCGTTCCTGGATATCATGCCCCTAACGAGGGGCCACATCCTCCTTGCCACGCGAGAGCATTATGAGAAACTAGGGGACGTGAAGGTCGGCGTGAGTCGAGAGGTGAGTAGTGTACATCACGATCCGATAACTACCCCTCCACTCTTTCTATCTACACTTACGATCCTGTTTGCGTAACTGCATCCCGTACTGCATAAGTCATATATACCTGACCCATATCCCCGGACAAATTTACTCTACGGGGACAAGTCACGCAACTAGAAAGAAACACTAACTAACGTGATACTGTAAAGATCGGCCAATGGCTCCCCATCCTCTCGCGGGTGGTGATGCGCACGCTTTTCGGGGCCTCGGACGACGAGGCGGCGGATTGGTGTTGGAATGTGGTGCAGAATAATGGTACGTTTGTTCCTTCCTTTCCTTCTCGATGTATATTCCCTTTCTTGATGTATACGTAAAGCTTGTTTGTTATCCTTCGTTGGGTTTGTACGACTCGGGCTTTCTTTTCTGGTCTGAGGAAACTCTACGGGAGAATACAGGCTAAGCGCGGGATTTGTCTTCAGGCGTCAGAGCAGCGCAGCAGGTCCCGCATGTTCACTTCCATGTGATTCCGAGGCCGAATCTGGATGGGTCTGGCGGCGGCGGGAGGCCGAGCTTTGTGATGTTTGGGCGTGGGCAGAGGGACGAGTTGGATGAGGAGGAAGGGGAGGAGCTGGCGCGGTGCTTGAGGGAGGAGTTGGCGAGGGAGGTTGTGCGTCTTAGGGATGTGGAGGGGGTGGATTTGGAGGGGGAGTTTGCGGGGAGGTGTTTACTTTCGAAGCTTTGAAGGGGTATATATGTATAGACAGAGGTCTGTTCTAGATGCACGGCGTTTCGTGATACCAGATATATTCAATAGTTCTATTTTTTTGAGACAGTATTTTATTCTCGTACGTGACGTAGGTAATAATACGGTGCGGTTTATAGTGTCGTTCTTCATGATGCAGGCGTCGCGCTGCCTGATCTGGGTGGTTTGGAGTCATACTGCGGGTTCTTGGTGAAGTACTGTTTCTGGCAGTCAGTATGCGGGATGGATATTACGGTAGAAGGGAGGAAATGAAACGTGCCTTCTTTCTGAACGAGTTGAGGTCATCGGCATAGACGCCCTCCGAGTCGAGCTTTCGTCGTCCCATGGACACATCCGACACCTGGCCTTCGGGCAGTCTCCGGTAGGTGATTAGGCGACGGGACCCTGGCGGGTTGTTAGATATGTTCCCTGGTCGTAGGAGGACGCAATGCAAAGATGGCTTCACTTACAGTTATAGAACGGTTGAACGGACACACTCAGAACCTCCAGGTTGGGGTGCATGGGCGTATCCAGCTCGACATCCTCGTCGTTGGAGGTGGGCATCCACATGCACATGCGGCCACCGGTCACCAGCGTCCTGGCCGCGAAGCTGAGAATATCGTTTTGCATGGCCTCAAAGCCGTAGGGCTTCTTGGGTGCGATGTACCCGGGTCGACTGTACAGCACGAGTCAGCAAACACAAGCTCTCCAGAATAACGTCCACTTCCTCTCTACTTATTGCAGCCAAGCAGCAACAGAACACATACAGATGAGCCGGGACCCCATCAATAATGACCTCCTCATTCCTAAGCCCCTCCCGCCTCCCCAGCACGCGCAAGCCCTCGCGCACCCCGTAAGGCGGATCACAGACGATGCCATCGAGGAACTGGGCCGAGCGCAGCGGCGTATTCGTCAGATCCGAGGAGAAGACATCGAGGAACTTGCCGGCAGTCCCGTACTGCTGGAAATTCGCGAGCACGCCCATCGTGCCGCCGCGCTCGATCATCTCCTTACCGCGGAAGCTGCGCCCGTCGATATCGGACCCGAAGTTCAGGGCGCCGAAGTGGCCCATGGCCACAAGGAAACTGCCCGTGCCGACGAACGGGTCGTAGAAGAGCTTGCCCGGCGCCGCGTGCGCCATGTTCGCCGTGATCAGCGTCAGCTCCGCGTCCATGGACGTCGTGCTGATATACCGGCGCTTCTTGAGGTCGTACTTGTTGATCACGTCGCGGCTGCTGTTGGCCAGCCAGCGGCCGAACCAGATCCGTTGGGGTTCCTGGCCTTCTGGCACGGGGCGTAGGATCGGGTTGGTGCTGGTTGTGCTGGCGGGTTTGCTGGTGCCCTCAGCAGCGGCAGCGTCGGCGACAGCAACATCCCAGCCGTAGTCCTCCAGGACCCAAAAGTCCTGGTCCGGGTTCTTCATGCGGATCGGGCCCCGGAAGCCCAGGAAGGAGAACGACTGGATGATCTCGCGCTTCTTCTCATTGCTGCGCTTGCCCGCGAAGCTGTCGACCGTGAAGCGGAACGAGTCCGTCGCAAACTCCGCCCAACGCGCTTCGCTCGTCCGCCTGCGGACGTCCGCGTGCACTTCCTCGAGCGTGCTGCCTTGGCCCCAGAGCTCGAAGATGTCCTTGGCTAGGATGCTGCGCGCGATGAGCCTGCGCGCCGCCGCTTCATCTTGGACTTTGATCACGCAGAATGGAGACTGGGCGAGGAGAGGTTAGTCGATGGGTTCTTTCTGTTATTCCATTGGTGCGGGGAAAGAGAATTCATGTGCTGGATTTTGTTTTTCGGAATTCTGGGAGTGGAACAGAGCCCTAGAACATAATACTGCGGACGGAAGACGTACATATTTGTCGTAGTAAATGAATTCGAGGTCAATACCGGCCAAGTCTGCCAACGCCTGAATCTCAGGTTGGCGGAAAGACTCGTGGACCTGCGCAAAGCGGATCAGGTATTCCATCGTCGGCTTGCGCTCTCACCCCGCGCCACCAGTCTTCTTGGGGTACTAATTGGATTGCTGCAGTATCGCTACTGCCGAGAAGACAAATGATGAGACAGTTTGTCTGGTCAATCTTCAAATATGGAGCGCTGAAATGGAGTCTGCTGGTTGAATGGTTGCGGAATCAATTTTTCTTATGATCCGCTCGCTGCTGGCTTTTTTCTTGCAGTGAATTTGGAACCCGTCGTTGAGCTCGAATTCAACTTTGCCCCCAAACCTGATGGGCTACAATGCTACAAATACCACAAAGAATGTCTGGATGTGTCGAGAATTCAAGCTCGACTATCATGATACCAGAGTTGATACAACTAACTTAATGATTTTTATCTGCGAAGCAATTGGCCTCCATCGTGGAACCAAACGCAAGAATAGATACATTGAAGCCGCAAAAACAGAAAGAAACATGCTTGAGAAAACAGTGGGTGTATATCTTTCTTAATCAATCTTTACATCCTATCCTTTCCTTGCATCAAACCCACAATGAAAATCAAACCCAATTTACGCCGTTCTGGAACCAGCTGGGAGCCAGAGATGGGATGACCAGCAACAAACGCCGCCGCTATGCGCCGACAACCTTAAACACATGTCGTGATTCATATCCTTCAACTTGCGAAATATCGACCTTCTCATCCTCGGGGATCATCTCGTGTTTGAGCTCCCACCCGGCCCGACGGCAGAGCTCAGAGACCACCACGTCGCAATCGCCCAGCAGATCGATATCGAACTCCGTATGCGTCACGGGCTAGTGATCCATTAGCCTGGAAAGAGCGTAACCAACGAGGTTCGAACTTACCGTGCGAGAGATGTAGATCTGAGGCACATGACGAGGCAGCACTCCTGGAGCCTCTGCGACAGGCGCAACCTTCAAAGAAGTTCCGATCACAATGACCAAGTCCACCCGTTCGCGATCGTGGTGAAGCAGGCGACGACCGAACTCATCAGGCAGATCCTCACCAAAGAATGTAATATCGGGCTAATCAAACATTAGATCGAAATCGTAGGGAAACAAAAGGGGGCGCGCTACCCACCTTCATAACACCAGGGGACGGAATCTCGTAGTCGTCATCCGAGCTATCCTCATTGTCGTCCTTGCGATTCCTGTGGACTCCAGTGGTGCTGCGCTTGCGTTTCATGCTCGATTCCTCTGCGATACGGTCGCGACACGCGGCACACTGGGGAATGGCACCCTTCTTGATTTCATCAAAGATCTCGTCGCCCGCCACTTGGAACCTACACTTGACACAGGTCGCCGTGGCAAACGAGCCATGACACTGGACGATATTCTCCGCAAGAACACCGGCATTCGCCTCAATATTATCAATGTTCTGGGTGTAGTTGGTCAACAATTTGCCCTTGTCCTGCAGGAGACGGATGAAAGCATGCGTCGGCGAGAACTTCTTCTCGGTAGGTAGGATGTCCTTTGCAACCGAGAAGAAGATACTGGGATCTTCGCGGAACACTTGAATGTCAAAGACCTCCTGCGGATCGCTCAGGCCCAGATGCGCGAGCTGCGAGTATAGACCGGTGTCCTTGGATCGAAAGTCGGGGATTCCGAGACTGGTGGATATCTACAATGCTTGTCAGTATACCACAGCCCTTGCGACAAGAACAAATCAGACGGTGTGACTCACGCCAGCACCAGTCAGCACGACGATGTTCTTGGACTCCTTCAGCAACCTCACTGCGTCGTCGACGGTATTGTACTGTGGGAGCTTCGGACGTCGCGAGAACTCGCGCGAGATCGCGATCGCGAGGAGAGGGTGGTAAGCTTCATCAGGGGCGCCTTCAAGGAAAGCCGGGGGCCGGAGACCGAACGCCGTGCACAGCTTCTTCGCTGTGACCGTCTCCTGTCCGATGGTTTCTTCGACAAAAGCAGCTTTGCCGATCTCGTGAAGACGATTTCGATACGCGATAGCCTCATCCAAAGTGCAAGCATCAGGAACTAAATTCAGGGCGCGGCGCAAGTTAGCGGGTGGGGAACTGGCACAGCGAGGCCGGGAGAAGCATATAGATTGGACTCACCTCCATCGCGAAGTTGCTCGTCTCGCAGCACTTCAATGGCGTCCTCATACAGCGACTGGGTTTCCCACTCCTCCCCGGAAGCGTCGCTGTCGGTCTCGTACTCGGTATGGGACATCTCACCTTTGGTGGTGGTGGCGGCGGTGGGGTCCTCGTTCGCCGTGCCTGGCTTGTCGATTACATCCGCGGAAGTCATATCAACGGCGACGGCGACTGTAGTTTGCAACGACGAGCTTTCCCCACTGGGCGCTGATTCCAGGTCCATCCTGTGACGGAAGACGGGGGCACTTCCAGCAACCGCTAAATCGACCCTGCCAACTCACATTGAGCTTTCCGTTTGCCACCCCGAAGTTGCTTGGCCGAGACAAAAATGGCTCTGGTTATCTCCGGGGGGGAATTGCGCTCGGATACTACTTTATCCGGACCCGTACGATATGGACAATGAACCGGTCGGATTTAGTGCATTTGCTCTAAGTAACTAGTGTATTAGACTGCTTGGTATCTGAAGTGAGAAAACATGAACTTTTTATTTGGTATCATGACAAGAAGGGGAGTTCGTAACAAGGACGTGCAGCAGCTTGGTTGGTTTCAGGAGTCGGCCATTTCGTGGTCACTGTCAGAGTCCACCTCAATTTCCTCGTCCTCCCAGTCTTCCTCGCCCTCCTGGCCCTCAGCGCCTTCGTCCTCCATCTCCTCACCCAGCTCCTGGTTCATTTCCTGAACCAGCTCGAGCGCATGCTCCTTTAGTCTTTCATCCTCGTACCCCTGAATCTCGTACAGGCTTAGGCCCTGCTTGAGCCATTCGCGACTGGCGATGAGCGACGCCTGGCGCTTGGCCTCCGGGGTGTCGGCTTCTTCCTCGACATCCGCAGGCGCTTGTTGCTTGCCAGCCAGAAGATATAGACACCAACCACCGAGATACCAAGCCTCGATACTTTGATCATCTTCCAGAATCAAGCGCTCCAACACTTCCAATGCCTCCAACTCCATCGCAACCTCCATCAAGAGACGAGAGAGACTGATCCTTGTGGGAAAGTCCGGGATACTGACATCCTCTGGGGGCAGATCCTTCCAAATCTCAAGACTCCTTGTAAGTGCCGCTTTGGCGTCCTCTGTGCGTAGCTGCGAAATGCGAATGGAAGCCAGGGTTTGGAGGACTTCGGGTCCATTAGGGTCGACCAGGAGAGCTTCCGTGATGAGCGTCTCGCAACGTTTCTCTGCATCTTCTTCCCAACTGTGTTGCATTAGTACGAGACAACCAGCATCGATTCGACCGCTTCATGGGCGAGGATGAGGAATGTGGAAAAGCTCAGGTGCCACTTACGAAAGATCGGTCATATAGATCTCAGCCACGGCACATAGAGCATTGGCCATCTTGCGCTTCTTCTCCAGCAATTCAGCCGCCTCTTGAGGACCGGGGCTCTGCTCTAATTGCTGGATCGCATGTCTGAGCGAGGAGACACCCTTCTCGAACCACTGCACACTATCCTTTCCACCCTGCTCGCTCAGCTGAGCCAGCCACAAGAACTTCTCTGCGCCTCCTCCTTGCGATTCAGGTATCGTGCCATTGGGATCGGCTTCGACCGCACGCAGGAAGTGGGCGCGGGCGGTGTCGATGTCACCGAGTTCGACGTAGATCTCTGCGACGGCAATCAAGGCCGATAGATGTGACGGAGAGCCTGCGGGGGAGCTGTCGAGCGCTTGCTGGGCTAATTGTAGGGCGGCATCGGCCTGGCCGGTCTGGATGAGTATCGTAGCTTGCTCCAGAAGCTTGGCGGGATCTTCGTTCATCTTCTTCTGCTGCTTCGAGACCGAGCCACCGACACCGAGGACGGACTTCTCGCGAGATTTGGAGGATTTCTGCTTCTGAGGTCTGGACTTGCCCATTATAGTGAGATATTCAGATCGAGTAATGCTTCGCTGGCAAGTTTTATAAGATGTCAAGATATAACCACGGAAAAGAGAGAATTCTTCCAAAAAAGAGTAAAGTATAGCAATTGGAGCTTTTCGATCTTTCAAGGCGGAGCATAGAAATTCCCTTTTTCGGGCGGGACAAAATCGGGCGGCTTTCCTTATCTGTTTGCGCTGTTTGCACACCAATGGCAACATTCTACTCCGTGCTGGGAGAGTCCGAATCAATCTATGATCTAGCTCAGAATCATCGAACCAGGAAATAGGCACCATCTTGTTCACTTATATTTCTCTACGACACAGCGGTCGCTGCCATACCCTATAATTTATCCTCTGGGAGCCAGGGTCTCTCAACGAAGGATTCACGAACGCCAAACCACACCGCACGAAACAGAATACCCCTCCAACCCCGCCGGCGGCGCATTGAGGCACAATGGGTCGCGAAGACCAGATCGAAGAGCGCGAGGTGCTCGACTCCATTTTCCCCGAAGAGATAACAGGTAAGAGGCGCTGGTTTATTCCTTAGTTTTGACGACACATCTCCGTGTGGAATTATTTCATGCAAGTTCGAGGCCCCGTGCTGACGAAAGGATTAATTGAACGACCAGACGTTTCGGACACTTCATATCGGATATCGATCGCCCTGGATGTCCCCGAAAATGATGTCGAAGAGACAGAGCCACCCGTCCTGATCTTGCACGTGTCGTATCCTGAAGACTACCCGGACGTTGCTCCCGAATTAGACATCAGTGCGCCCCCCAACGCACCGAAACACCCTCGCATCGATGTTTCAGAGGACAAGGATCGGCTGCTCGAGGCCCTGCAACCGACTATCGAAGAGAACATGGGGATGGCGATGGTGTTCACCCTAGTGAGCGCGCTGAAGGAGAGTGCCGAGCTTCTGATGGCGGAGCGCGTGAATGCGATCCACGCGGAGAGGGAGATGGAGGCTGCCAAGCGGGAGGAGGAGGAAAATCGGAAGTTCCAGGGCACAGCCGTCAACCGGGAGACGTTCCTGGCATGGAGGGACAAGTTCATGAAGGAGATAGAAGAGGAGGAGAAGCGGTTGCGCGAGGAGAAGGAAGCCGAGGACAGGAAGGCTCAGAAGAAGACTCCCGGTAAGGAGGAGAAGAAGCTTACGGGCAAACAGCTGTGGGAACGTGGTCTGGCTGGAAGAGCAGACTTTGATGAGGACGAGGAGGATGCCATGCCCGCTGCTGTAGAGAAAATGAAGATCGCCGCGTAGAAACTTCACGGTTTCATGTAATAATTTACACGTTCAAGTCGCTCCCAGAAGAGTCTCAGTCCGCAAGGAATACGCACTTCCTGTCCGGCAACCTCACATATAGAAAGTGGGCATCACCGACAGATCAGGTAATTATCCAACATGCATGGCTAGTGTTTGATGCTGTGAATAGAATAATATGAAAACAAAGGTATATTTGCCCGAAACTGATTGCAAGGCTTGCCATAGAGGTATACTGCTTTAATTGCTAAGCGAACCTACTCCTCTGGTCTATCTCGAAAAACTTGAGATGGATACAGACTGTGCCAGATGTCTCTTAAAATGTGCGTTGGCGGCCTCCGCGGTAGGTCGCTGCTTGGACATCGGCAGTGTGCCCCAGTCAGTTGCTCATGACTTTGAGGATGGCCGCGGTTCAAGCAGCCTGGGAACTTTGTATCAAAAGCCGTTATTGACCGCGGCTTACCCTTTGGTAGTGTTCTCTAGTCAAAGTCTTCTTAATACCCTTTTTTCGCTTTTCCTTTGCCCGACCTGGCTTGTCTTGAGCAGACTCTAGCTGGTCAACTTCCTTCTGTTCTGTTTCCCCCTGCGCAGCCGTCGCCTTAGCAGCCCTCTCCTTAGCTTCTTTTGCGGCCAACTCACGCTCCGCAAGGACAACTTTCCACATGGCTTCCGCAAGGCGTTGATCTTTGGCGTCCAATTCAGCGATACGTTCTTTATTTCTCCGCAGAGCATAATTAAAAGCATCAACCCACATAACCTTTTCTGGTTCTTGTTTGGTTCTCGAATCCCACTCGTCCTCGTCCCTGGCCCAATGAATTTCTTGAGTTAGCAAATCACGCTGGACGAGTGATTTGTCCCGTCTGCGATGTTTGCCCCGGAGGATATGACTGAGGAACGCGGGCTGGGGTTTCTTGATTCGCAGCATCGGCAATCCGCGAGCATTCACGATTTTGGGAACGCGGCGTATCCCGTTGACGACCGGTCTCGGGCGCGCCAGGATAGACTCAGCATCTGGATGTCGTTGCATAGTCTTCCTCTGGGCTTCTCGGCCTGCTTGTTTCCTCAAGTCGAGTGCGCTGGGAGGTCTGGCCCTCGCGAGTTTCAACCGTGTCAACTCCCGTTGTATCGCGGATTTGCGCTCTCGTTCTCTTAAAGTAGTTGATAAGAGCGTTTGGAGGTGCTTGGTCTTTTCGTGGTTGCCTTGTGATACGGCATGGAGCAAGTCAAGGGCCTTTATTCTCCGCAAAGAGATCGTCAGCTGTGATGGCTGGGTGGTGGGATCTATAGCGAAGGGACGGGGTGTTCGCGTACTTCATAGCCCGCCTTCAGGGTATGCGCTATTTTGGAAGGGCTCTGGATGCTTTTGTATCTGTGAATTCGTAGTTGTATATATTGTTGGGCTACACTACGCTCCGGTAGATTGTCAGGTAATTTGGCGCATTGTCGGAGAAGAGCCCGATACAGCGCGAGAGCTGCCACAATGATTGGATATTAGCCTCATTGTACGCAAAAACATTGACTGGGACGTCTAATCTAGAATACATACTCGCAAAACGATGTATAGAAGATCTACACGGCACTACCGATTTGTGCATGGTGAAGCTGATAACAAGGGAATCAAATATCTTTTGGAAGCATGTAACTGATAAGATACGCCTGAGTGTCACGTGTTGAAGAGAGTACTGGCTCCCTTGATATAGCTATGAAAGCAGCCGCAACTCACCGCCTTGGTTGTGTAGTGTAATGGTTAGCACCCAGGATTCTGATTCCTGTAATCCCGGTTCGATCCCGGGCACGACCT